GTGGTGAGAAGGTCTTACTTCTACTTTTAGGCTTTCTCACCATAAAACACTGGTAGTGAGAAGTACCGACTTCTTTTTGCTCCAAAATAAATACACCTAAATGCTCAAATTGGCTCCTATATTTATATTTTTTGCCCAAAAAAAAAAAAACGCAACAAAAAAAAAATCACACATCCATTTTGACAAAAAAGCTTTTGCCTGAATAAATTTGACCAATTGTGCTAAAATTGTCAACTGTTAAAACGGGATTTCCTGCGACTTGCCGAAGCCAACAAAAATCTCCGGCTCTATTCAGGAATGATTCACGGAGCGGGACAACAGCTTCATTATTACCGCTGGAGCCTATTAGGAAAGTTTCAGCTCCAAACAAACGCTCCAAGCCACAGCAAAGGAAGGAAATCATTTATAATTGAAGTGTGATGCGAGAACTTAGATTAGAAAACCTGTGTAGCCTTTGTCTGAGCCAATGAAATTGCATTCAAAGCTGCGAGCAGCAATTACTGTGTGATTTATTCTGACTGAACATTAAAAAAGCCCTCTAGAAGCCCGGGTCTCCTCCTAAAGCCTCAGAGCAGCACCTAATCGTCAGCCTGAATCACCAAAGCTTCAGTCGCCTGAATCAAAACATTTAAGACGTTATAATTTATTTAATTGGAGTTAAGTTTGGTTTTCAGTCCTTTTAATTATTTACAATTGAGTTTGACAGAAGAAACAATCAGTTTTTTATAAAAATTATTTCATATCCTGAGATCTAAAGCAAATCTGACTATGCGTGTAATTAAACGAGTAAACATTCTATGTCAGATGCATTATGGGATACCAGAGCTGTATTAACTCTGTCTTTAGCCGATCTGGTGAGTCAGTTTGAGAAATGCAGCCCAGACAGACACACAACATCATTTTCTCTCTGATTTATGAGTTTTAGCAGCATCAACATCAATAACTGAACTATAATTTATTGTAGTCAGAGTGGTATCAATTTTCCATTAACCGTCTGAGAAGTTAAACACTTTTTTGTTCAAACACTTGGATTAGCAGCAGGAGATTGATGCAGAGGACTTAAAATCATTAACAACAAGCCTTTGTGCAACAATGTAGAGATAATACAGACAGAGAGGATCCCTAGACTATGTAAAATGAGGAAAATTATGATTTTTATAGAGAAATAAGAGATTATGTTCATGACTTGTATGGACAGAATCTCTAGGCACAGCCATATGAATCAGTTTTGGTGACCTTTTGGTCTCTGCTTTTTACAGATGATGTGGTCCTGTTGGCTTCATCAGAACGTGATCTTCTGGGATGAGAATCAGCTCCTCTAAATTCGAGACCATGGTCTTGAGTTGAAGGGTAGAATCCCTTCTCTGGATTAGGGATGAGGTCCTGCCTCCAGTGGAGGAGTTTAAATACCTCGAGGTCTTGTTCACGAGTGAGGGAAAAATGGAGCGTGAGATCGATGGGCGGATTGGTGCTGCGTCTGCAGTGATGCGGGTGTTGTACCGATCTGTACGAATGAGATCTCGGGTATAAGCGGCCAAAATGAGTTTTTATCCGCAGGGTGTCTGGGCTCTCCCTTAGAGATAGGATGAGAGGCTTGGAGTAGACCTGCTGCTCCTCCACATCAAGAGGAGCCAGTTGAGGTGGCTCTGGAATCTGGTTAGGACGCCTCCAGGATGCCTCCCTGGCTAGGTTTTTTGGGCATGTTCAACCAGACCAAAATCAGACCCAGGACACGCTGGAGGGACCGTGTCTCTAATCTGGCCAGGGAACGCTTTGGGATTCCCCCAGAGGAGCAGGCCCAAGTGGCTGGGAAGAAAGAAGTCTGGTCCTCTCTGCTTAGACAGCTGTCCCCGCGACCCGACCTCGGATATGTGGAAGAAAAAGGATGGATAGATTCTGAAATATTTGCCAAATATAAAAATTTGAACATTTTGCAGGAATGTTAGCATAAAGAGGCTATTCTGGGTACGAAAGGGGAGAACGAATGCCCAACAATTTAGAGATAATTATGAAGCCTTCTGCATCACATCTGTACACAGATTATTGTTACATTCATGAATTCAAATGTCACCATTACTTAAATAAACAGGCACAGTGAAAACAATGGCAGCCACAGAACAGTTTTTGACCTTTATTCAATAAAGAAATGAGCCAGTGAAAGCACAGATAATGTCGTTTTTATCCCAGTGAGCTGGTTTCATTGCTATTTCCGTCCATATGATAAAACACCAGTGTTCATGTTGTACCTTAAATCCAGCATCTTATCTTCAAATGAAAACAAAATCCTCCACAAGTAAATAAATCTGCCGTCCCTGTTTTTCCTGCAATAGCAGCGCTTGCTGTTTCACCTCACAAACGTGCCACAGCTCACAGCTGAAGACCTGTGGTGTTGGTGATCAAAGCGTCTTTCTGAGTTTTGTTTGAAAAATAAAAACAATCCTACCAAGACGAAAGAAGCCTCACTTTTTGTTTTTCTTTATATGGATTTTCATACAGTTTTGGTCACATCTCACAAATAAAATGACTGCTTTATGGCAAGATCGAGTATAATCTGCTAGCGCGCAGATTAAAGTATAAAACTGATCAAATTATAGGGATTGTTGTGTTTATTAATAATGTACATCCAATATCTGGAGTTTTTTTCAGCAATTTAAAGACTCAAAGATTAAAAAACAAAAATTACATCTATTTTATTTTTAATCGATCTATTTAGTGGCTAATGTCAATTAAACAAAGCAAAATACTAACAAAACATAATTGGCACTCCTGCAGTACTGAGGAGGCACAAGACTAGAACAGAATTGACTGGAGAAGCTTGGAATGTGCTAATCCTGACATATTTAATCTAATATTTTGCTAAAAGACAAACATGTTGACAGTTTTGACCAAATATTTTCTAAGAAATGTAGTTTTCACCCATCCCTTTGAGTCCTAGTGTCCCACAGTTGAGGAACTTTGAAGTTTAACTGCAAAATTAATGTCCCACATATCAGTAATTACGTTCTCCAAACACATCTACAACTACAATATAAACAGTCTAGATGGAAAACAATGTCATTTAAAATATTAAAAAATTAAGACACAATAATACTTGAAGTTTATTTTAGAAGAGCGTCTGGCTCTTTTGTACGTTCTTGCTGTGTTTGTCTTTAAATTCCATTTTTGGTTCTTTTTTAAACACAGATAAGGTTTTTCTTTACCTTGCTGACGTTTCGTTTGCAGCTGCAAACATCCTCAGAGCTGACGCTGATGGTGGCGTCACTTTGTTTGGCTCTGACGGAGAGACAACTGGATTACGTCGTAGTGCGGATACAGCTCCTGAAAATTTACGCATGGAGTCCACTTTTTCAAGACACTGCTTGCGGAGCAGAAAGACATTACACGAGCCAGACAAGAAGTGAGATGTTTCAACGAGGTACATCTGGTTTATTTCATAATAAAACATGTCACATTATTTACATCATAGAATACATAGACACCCCATTGGACGCTGGAGAACATAACAGCATCGCCGCCATATTGGATAGGTTCCTCACTCTCCAAACCTAACTGGAGCAGGATGCAACAATTGGTGTACCATTGAAAACAGATCACGTGAGATTACTATTGACTTTGCTATCCTACCTGTTGGGATTTTATGCTTTTGTTTAAATATATTTAAATTATAATGCCATACCATCTTATTTTTTTAAAAGAATAATAAAATGTATTTTTAGTTGGGTAAGCACCTTCTTCAGTAGAAATTAAAGCACTGGGGGCGAATGGGAACCCACCCAAGATGGCGGCTGGCCACCTTGGGACAGGGCGTCTACGTATATGATGGCTGTGATTTAGATAAACAGATGTTCAGCACACAAACCGCAGTCAGTGTGAAAGGCAGGAAGCCGTTTGGTAACCAGGCCGCATTCAGTGAAAAACAAGCTTGATTATTTACGTGTAAAGACGATCCAGTGATTCAGGATAATTCGCTAACAGACATCGACAAAATTAAAGTTATGGACCCTAAGCCTAACTAAAGAAAGGAGTGACTTTCAGCTGTTACCACAGCAAACTTCATCTTATTAGAATTTCCTGACTTTTCTACAATGAGTTTCTGGATCTGTTATGATAAAGCTTGTGTTGAAGCCAAAACTCTCATTAGGCTCCCGAGAGCAGGCAAGTGCATTCCTGCAGCAGTGACTCACAATTAAAACCCTTGTTTAAAAAGACGTTTTGGGCTGTTTTGCAGCATGTCAATAATAGTTTTCATGTTTTTCCTCTAAAACTGTCCAAATGGAGCTTTGATGCTGTTAGTGACAACTCTAATGAAGCCACATTATATTTTATCAGAACAGCTTTTTCCTGAAGAGCTGAAGAACAAAACATTATTACAAATTTGCCAATTTAAAATTAATTATCTTGCACCAGCCAAAAATACACTTCCTGTTAATCAGACTAAAACACTGAAATTTTATGCTACAATTTTACTCAAAAGTACAATTAAAATGTTTGAGTTTATTCATCTGCAATGTGTAAAGCTGCATAATTGCGTAGATTTGACTTCAAATTACTCTTTAAGAATTTATATCACATTTACTGTTATTATCAACATGAAATCTGAAGGAATAAATTATGCGACTTAATGAAATAAACAAAATTAAATGTTAAATTTTTTTAAATGACAAAAACAGCATTTGCAGTTTATTTTATTCTTATTAAATAAAACATTTTATTGATGTCTTCATTTAAAGTTTGCTTTTATTCCTTGATTTTTTTCTCTATAATTCTTGATTTTATTTACCGCTAAAACATACAGCAGCTCCGTTTGAATTATGACTAAAACCATGGAAGACTTTTACTTGAGTGTTGTAAAATTTGTACAAATAAAATATCAGCTAACAAAATATCTAAAAACATTTTTGTTCTATTTCATTCATAATATGTCAGATTTGATCTCAACAAAGAACATGAGTCATTCCTCGGGAAACGTGTGTAAAGAAGGATAAAATTCAGCAAAAACATAACATTTTACCTTTATTTATAATGAATTTTTTACATTTTCCTTGAACACCATCTAACAATATGAAGCGCAGTTTGGGTTTTAAAATTTTCAAGAAAAAACAAGTCAGTATTCTGTATTCACAACTTCAATTTTACAGAAAATTACTGGAAACGATTTAAACAAAAGTGAAATTCAATCCACACTTTCTGCCAACATCCTGTTGAAGATCAGAACGGCGGGCTGAGAGAGGGTGTTCTGGATGCTGTAGGCTTGTCCTGCAAAACAGAAACATCAGACTGAAAAAGATTTTCCATAACAAACACAAATTACAGATAATTAATGGTTTATAATTTCACCAACACGACCTTTTATTTGCATCTTGTTCTTACCACACTCCACAGAGAAAGCCTGACCGGACCTGTAGCGGGACACGGTGCCGTTGACGGTGACGCTCAGGGAGCTCGTTAATAAATGAAACACCTTAAAACAACAAATGAAAAGAGCAATTATTAAAACATGTATTATTTATGAAGAGTTTTACTAACATGCACTGACTGTTGTTGCACTGTGATCCACCCAGAGGGGCTTCTTCATGTAGGAGCCCATCAGGATCTTCCCAGAACAGAAGCAGGAACTGTTCAGGTCCACCTGGATACCCAAGGCTCGGTTCTGGTGGAAGAACCACTGAAACTGGTCTGGAGTAAGTGCGGCAGGTTCTGCAAGAGATATATATACTGGCTGGTCAAACTGGTTTTCTAATGGAAGTCAGACGGATAATTATGAGTCCTCACCGTGAGCCGTGGTGGACCAGAGAGTCTGGAACCACTCGGCCAGATTGGCCCTGTCGTTGGAGTGTAGGGTCAGCGGTTTGAGAGGAGGAGCACAAAGAGCTGCTGCAGACAGAAAGCTCTGGGCTCTAGATGGCAGATCTATAATACAGGAGGAGGATTACGGAGGGCAGTTAGTCAGAGAAATGCAACGTCAGCGGACGTTCACACTCATGTCAACTGGGGTTAAAGGACAACATCTGCTGCATCAAAAGGCTTGAGTCGTCCATCTTTCATTCTCAGCAGGAGGTGAAAGCCTCTAGAGTGGCTGCACGTTTCAACTTTAAGCCTCTGCTGTGGCGATTAGACGTGTTACCACCCAGAAGCATTTCACTGAATCTGGATCAACTGATTTATGCTTATGTCTTTATCGACCATGCTTCATCTGCGGGGATGGAGGCCTTCAAGCATCCGTCCAGGTGAACATACCCATTTCCTCAGAGTTTTCCATGTCGACCATGGAGGACGGTCCACTCATGCAGGCTCTTAACCTGCAGGAAAGAATCCAAAGCAGTAAATAAACAAACCCTGGATGATAACAGAGACAGAACAAGCTGGTTTACTCTGACTTCTCTCCTTACGTGTCGTCAGACGGACGTTTTCTGTGTGGTGCGGTGGGCTGTGAGTGGCTGTGATGGCCCACATCTGGAGCAGCACTGCTGTGTGTTACAAAGGCCGTCTCAGCGGGACGCGGCATCAAGACAGGGCTGCTAATCTGATGCGCAGCGGACACAGCCGGGGTATTTACACCTGAAGTTAAAATGTCTTTTAACGCTGCCGGGGTGTCTTTGACTGTCCTTGAAGGTACGAGACACTTCAGAGGAGACACCAGAGCCCCCCCTGGTGGTTCTGATGCCCTTTTCCCTACTTTAGGAGAAGCTTTCCTCTGTTTGGACTTCTTCTTCTGCTCTTTCTGAGATTTGGGCTCCTGAGAAGGCAGCTGAGGCTGTGAGGAGGAGTTGGTGCCTCCTGAATTATCAGCAGAAAGAACTTCCCACCAGCTCCCAGGATGCTTTCTCCTCCGTTTGGCTGGCTCTGCTTCCCTCAGCGGATCTTTAGCTGGTTTGGGAGCGACGGGAGATGTGGGAGGGGCGGCCGGTTTGTCGGTGGAGGAGCTATGATAGACCTTCTGGAACATCTGTGCTCCTGTAACATAAAAGCACACAGCTGAGCTAAAAGGTGTAGAGCAACCTCTACCTCAGAAACATCATATTTGAATCTCAAAGAGGTTAAACTGCTAATTTTTAATGAAAGAGGAAACCCTTCCCACACACCCGAACTGACGCTGATGTCTCTGCGACTGAGCACCAAGGGGCTGGACTCCTGATCCAGGCCTCCATCAGGGATCTCCTGCTCCGCCTCAGCTGTGTCAATTTCATCCACTTCTTCGACCCGTTCCTCCTTTTTTCTCGTGGCCTTCCTCCTCTGCTTCCCAGTAGCTGTGGCCGTGTGAGCGGGTGGTTTCTGATTTGTTTTCTTGGCCGCCGCGGCTGAAGGAGGAGCTTTGCTGGAGTTTTTCTGTTTGGACTTCTTGGGCGGTTGAGGGGGTTCCGTTTTCTTGGGACTTCCAGAGATCCGCCACCATTCATCGGTCGGTTTCCTTCTCCTTTTCCCAAGAGCCCGGACTTCTTCATGTGAACTCTCCCCGGACTTATTCGAGTGTTCCTTTTGTTTACGTTTTTCATTCTCTTCGGCTTTTAGAACTTCTTTCTCTGCTGAAACACAACGAAAAGTTTTAGCATCTCCAGGAAAAAAAAAGCCCAGAGTTCTTTTTAAAAGATTTATTTCCAGACCTTTATGCTGTACCTGTAAATGATCCCAGATCTTCATCACCTGCAGGCTCTCCGTCCCTCTGCTCCTCTACATCAGCCTCCACCTCCTCCATCACAGCTTTAGGAGCCTGAAGTCCTTTTCTGTCCTTTAATGTTTTATTTGTTGGGATTTCTTCTTCATCCTCAGAGGAAAGGATCTGTTTGTTGTACTTCGCTGCTTTAGTTTTGGATTTAAGGGAGGCTTTTTCCGTTTCCACATCGACTCTATCTTCAGGTAGCTCCTCCTCCTCGCCTCCCTCTTTTAATGAAACCTTCCTCCGTTGTTGTTTCTTCTTCTTTGGCTGCTTTCGCTCCATCGAGTCACCAGCAGGAGGATCCTCTGGATTTGTCAAACCATCACAATCCTCATCGGACCCAATCACTTTCCCCTTCTTCCTCCTCTTCTTCACTTTTTCATTCTCAGCCCGAGTTTCCCATTTGTTGGCGGCCTTTTCCACTTCCTGCTCTTCCTGCGGCAAATCCTCTGATCCCTTTTCCGGCGGGTTCTCTTTCCCAGAGCCGAAAGTCTTGTTCAGTTGATTTCTTTTGTTTTTGGCACTTCTACTCGGGATGGTGATGTAAAGAGGTGCATCGTCTTCCAGAATCAGAAAATCCTCCAGCTCAGGAGGAGGCTCGGGAGGAGGCGCAGAAGGCGACGCTTTCACTGGAGTATTCCTGACAATTAAGCAAACACTGAACGTGTTATTTACTTTTACAAAAAACATATTTCATAACAAAAAAAGACCATTTTAACTCACGATGTTGGGTTTGACAGCATAGCCTGTTTTAACTTCTGCAGAAACGCATTCCTGTCTTTTCCAGAAGGTGCCGGTTTCTCTGCAGGAGGCCGTGTGTCGGCCATCTTTGCAGATGCAGGTTTAGGCTGCTTTCTCGTTGCTGAAACAGACGGCTTTGTGTTGTCCATGCTGTGTTTAACCATAGAATAAAAGAAACAGATGATGCTTAAGCTCTTAAAGATGACACAACAAGCTGTCAGGATGTTAAACCCTTTAACAGCAGTGGAAGCAGCTGATTTTACTTTTACTTTTACTAAAGTGACAGAATCGGGAGAGTTCCACCCATTCATTGTCTGAACCCGCTTGTCCACGTAGGGTCGCTGGTGCCTGTCTCCAGCGGTCAATGAGCAATCAGGCTGTGTACTCCCTGGACAGAGAGCCAGTCCATCGCAGGGCAACACAGAGACACACAGGACAATCAACCATGCACACACACACACACTCATCTAAGGACAATTTAGACAGACCAACCAACCTAACAGTCATGTTTTTGGACTGTGGGAGGAAGCCGGAGTACCCGGAGAGAACCCACACATGCACAGGGAGAACATGCAAACTCCATGCAGAAAGATCCCAGGCCGGGAAGCGAACCCAGGACCTTCTTGCTGGAAGGCAACAGTTCTAACCACTGCACCACTGCACAGCCTTCGGGAGACTTATTGCGCTCAAAAGATTAAAAAAATTACCCTCGCCGCATTTACCCTGAAGTTCTGGTAAAGAACACACCTATCTAGTCTTGTATTTAAGTGGCAGTGTGTTTTGTGGTTTTAAATTCATGTATCTTACTGCCTAAATGTTTTTGAATGTGGTAACGTAACTAATGTAATCATCAGCCAATCATCTAATGTGACGTCATCAACAGGTGCAAGACCCTGAGCCGCCCAGAAGAAAACGTGGGTGTCTAATATGGCATCCCCCAAAGACGCTAGACCCGAGCCCTATGTACTCTAGACCTGATTTTTATGGTTATGTGGTACAAAGCCGACAATATTTTACAGAAACTGGACATCATTGGATGGATATTTCCAGAGATTAATGGTAAAAACTACACTTTGTCTCCAAGACATGAGAAATGAGAAAAGAATGGAAACTTTTGTTTCCATCGCACTACACATCTATCAATAGATGTTAGGGGTGAAAGGGTTCACGGGGGCGTTGAACCGTTTTGGTTCGGCCTGTTTGGTTCGGTTCACTTTTAAATGATGAATTTTTATTGGCATGATTTAAGTGCAGCAGATAAAAGTTCCTAGGCGAGTTTCTGCACGGACGCTGTATTGAGTGGCGCATGATGGCTGCACGCGCCTGATCTCCCTTTAAAAAATGTGATCTGCAAATTCTGATCAACGACTTTCAGAGCGGATCAAACCAGCTGGCTGTCGCTGCCACTGGAGCCTGTAGAGACGCTGAACGGAGCGTCGCCCCTCCCTCCCTTCTCTCACACTGACGGCACGCAGCGGCAAAAATGTAAACAAACATGTCTGCTGAACTTTCCCCCAGGGACAACTGATGTAAAGTTTTCATCCAACAACAAAAATTACGGCACAGAGGAAGCTCGTTATTTAATGCGAGTTTTAAAGAAGAAACTCTGGCCGAGTTTTCAAAGCTCGCTGCAGAAATAAAAACACCAAGCATCAACATTCAACACTTGTCTGTATGAGCGTGACACTCATAGCTGCTGTTGTCCTATTTTTTGGTGATTTTAACATCCATATCTGCTGTCCTGATAATGTGCTTGCTAAAGGTTTTTTTAATTTGCTAGAGTCATTCAATCTAACTCAATGGGTATCATCCCCAACTCATGCCAGGGGTCACACCCTGGACCTGGTTATCTCTTATGGTCTACCCATCATGAACCTTGTGACTTTGCCTCCTGTGCTCTCTGACCACTCTCCAATACTCTGTGATGTTACGTTGCCATGTCCTGTCCCTGTGTGTGAAGCTCCAGCTACTAGGTTCAGAGCCCTGGATGCAGAAACTATTTCAAAGTTTGTGGACTGTATGTCTGTAAGGTTAGAGACCTTTAACCCAGATCCATCTAACGTTGATCACTATTCACAACACTTTGATTTACATTGTAATCAGGTCCTGGACGTGGTTGCCCCTCTCAAGCTTTGCAAGTCTCGGCCTAGGAGGGAGCCTTGGCTCTCTGATGTCACACGGGCTTGCAGGCGGGCGTGTAGATCCTCGGAGAGAAAGTGGAAAAAGGATGGCCTACAGGTCTCGCGTGAGTTGTTCAGAGCATCTCTGGTTGCTTATCAGGAGGCAGTGAGGGCTGCCAGAATGGCCTATTTTGCAGACATCATTGAGACAAACTCCAATAATCCTAAGATTCTCTTCAAAACGCTAAACTCAGTTCTGGTGTATCAGGAGCCTAGCTCCATGTCTCCTACAGCTGCTGGAAACTCTGAAGCTTTTCACAAATTCTTTGTAGATAAAGTGTCGGGCATTAGAGCAGCTATTTCTGGTAACTCTGTTGACCCTGTTCCAGTTCATCCATTACCACCCACCCTGAGCTCCCTCAATACAGTTTCATACTCTGAGCTGAGTAAGCTAGTTGCGAGGCAGAAGCCATCTGGCTCTCCACTTGATGTTCTACCGCCTCGTCTCTGGAAGGCTGCCTTTCCGTGCCTTGGCCCATCACTTGGTCAGATTATCAATGGGAGCCTCAGCACAGGTGTGGTCCCAGCTGCTTTGAAAGCAGCAGTTATTCGGCCGACCCTGAAGAAACCTGGTGCTGATGTCTCTGTGATAGAAAATTACAGGCCTATCTCTACCCTGCCTTTTACATCTTTTACATCTAAACTGCTTGAGAAAGTCGTTTATCAGCAGCTGGTCTCACATTTAGCTGACTCTGATCTGTTTGAGGTTTTCCAATCAGGGTTCAGGTCTGGCCATAGCACAGAGTCTGCTCTACTGAGGGTCCTAAATGACATCTATCTATCACTAGATCAGGGAACATATGTGCTGCTTCTGTTATTAGACCTGACAGCAGCCTTCGACACAGTTGACCACGCGATTCTACTCGATCGCTTGGAACGATGGGTTGGGATCAAAGGGTCAGCTCTGGACTGGTTTAGATCATATCTCCAAAACAGGACATTCTGTGTTAAACTGGGTGATGTTTTTTCTTCTTGGGAGGGGCTCCGGTGGGGGGTCCCGCAGGGGTCGATCCTTGGTCCACTTTTGTTATCCATTTATCTGCTACCTCTGGGGTCAGTCTTTCGTAAACATGGCCTATCATTCCATCTGTATGCTGACGATTGCCAGATTTACTCTCCATTGTGTCAGGAGAAAGGTCACTCTATCCAGTCCTTTGTCTCCTGTGTTAATGAGGTGAAGTCTTGGCTAATGTCCAACTATCTACATCTGAATGAGGGAAAGACAGAGCTCATTGTTTTTCACCCCAACAGCAGGAATGTGGATCGTTATGCTGATCTTGGCCCTCTTTCTCCATACTCAAAACCAGTTGTTACCAGTTTGGGGGTGAAACTTGATGTAGGACTTAAATTTGATGCTCACATCAATTCTGTGATCCGGTCCAGTTTCTTTCACCTGAGACGCCTTGCTAAAATCAAGCATATGCTGTCGAGAGCCCACCTGGAGCGGATACTGCATGCCTTTGTAATTTCTCGGCTTGACTACTGCAACTCTCTCTACGCAGGGTTGTGTCAGTCAACACTGCGTCGCCTACAGGTTGTGCAGAACAGCGCTGCCAGGTTCCTGACTGGGACCAGGAAACGGGACCACATCAGTCCAGTTCTGGCCTCCCTGCACTGGCTTCCGATTTCCTATCGCTCACAATTCAAAATACTCGTCTTTGTTTATCATTTCTTCCAGGGTGGTGCTCCCCCCTATCTGGCCACTCTCCTGAACAGACATTCCCCATCACGCGCTCTGCGCTCCTCTGACCAAGGCCTGCTCGCTGTCCCTCGGTCTAGGTGTCGTACCCGTGGGGACCGGGCTTTCTCAGTCCTAGCACCGTCACTCTGGAACCAGTTGCCACCCTCAGTTAGGCTGTCCCCTTCTCTGCCAGTCTTTAAGAATCACCTAAAATCACACCTCCTCCGCTTGGCGTTTCCAGAACATGTTTGATTATGGCCCTCTACTATGTTGAATCCATTCCACAGTTTTCATTGGTACACTCAATCCATCCACTCAATCCAATTGTGTTTCACACATTTGTATTTTACCGGAATGTTTCATCTATCTTGTAATTTCCATTTTGTATTTTGTAATTTGTATTTTGTAATTTGAATTTCTTTTATTGTTGATTTATTCAATATAATTACATACAACTGTACCATGTTCAGCGCTTTGGGCTTCCTCACAGGGTTGCGGAAGGCGCTTTATAAATAAAGCTTTGATTGATTGATTTGATTGATTGATTGAGCTGCACAAATAACCTGTGAAATAATTAAAGACATCATGTTAGATCATGTAGCGTCATGAAATGTCCTGTTTTTGACCTAAAGGTCATGCTCTGCTGCGTCTGCTCGAGCAGAGACATAAAGTCTCTGACACAGGCCTAATCTACAGGAGATATTGGACAAGGCCTTTCATGCCTCTGCTCATCTGAACTGCTTCACCCTTTACAGCTCAAGACAAGACAGGGAACTCTCTTGATAAATACATAATCAAACGTTTGTTATTGCCAATTATGTGAATCCAATGTTCAATCAATCTGTGAAATGACAATGTTATTACTTGATATTATAATTCTGTGATCAGTAGTATTTTACAAGTAATTATAATCTTTGACGGCTGCACTAGACTCGTGATGACACAGAGTAATGCTAAAGTCACATGACACAGCAGCCTGTGATGACACCTGCTTCTGCTCACTATGGAAGCTGCTTCAGATATTGAATAAATAAATATAATAATAATAATAATAATAATAATAATAATAATAATAATATAGAGACAATTAATCAAACAGAGCTCTTCAAAACACTGAACCGAACTGAAAAGGAATTTAGAAGAAGAAGAAAATATCATTTCTATAGCGCCTCTCAAGATAAAAATCACGAGGCGTTTCACAAAAACAAAAATTGTAAAAATATAAAAAAGCATTTAGGAAATGTTTAAAAATATATTTTAAATGAGCAAAAATAAGCAATTGCGATTTAAAAGAAAAAATGTTAAGAAAGAGAGAGAGTGAATAGGAAAGAAGGAAATCAGTGGATCCTGAGGAAGGTGGAATAGGTGGGGAGAGCAGAACAAAGAGAGAGTGGTGAAAAAGGTCATAGAAAAGCCAGCTTGAACAAGTGAGTCTTCAGCTGATTTTAAAGGAGACCACTGAGTCCACTGATCTCAGGCTCAGGGGGAGAGAGTTCCAGAGTCTGGGGGCCACAGCAGCAAATGATCTGTCACCTTTGGTCTTTAGCCTGGTGCTGCACAACCAGTAGGCTTTGATCACTGGACCTCAGGGACCTGCTGGGGGTGTAGGGACTAAGAAGATCACCAATGTAAGATGGTGATTGTCCATGTAAGGCCCTATAGACCAGAACCAGGATCTTGAAATGAACCCTGAAGTTGACTGGCAGCCAGTGAAGCTGGAGGAGAAGCGGGGTGATGTGGGTGTGTTTGGAGGACTTGGTCAGAAGCCGAGCACAGGCATTCTGAACCACCTGTAGATGGTTCAGGGAGGTTCTGCTCAGACACGTGAAAAGAGAGTTACAGTAGTCTAAGCGTGAGGAGATGAAGGTGTGGATAACTGTCTCAAGTTCAGAGCGGGACAGAATGGGACTCAGCTTAGCAATGTTCCTGAGATGGATGAAGGAAGAGCGAACAAGAGAACTGACATGGGAATCCAGGGTGAGAGCTGGGTCAAAGGTCACGCCAAGATTCCTGACAGAAGGTTTGGTGTGGGAAGCAAGCTGGCCAAGAGAGTCTCTGACTTTGGGAACCAGCTTGTCTGGGGCACAGATGAGGATCTCAGTCTTATCTTCATTCAGCTGAAGAAAGCTCCCAGCCATCCAGGTTTTGATAGAGTCTAAGCAGATGTGTAACAGCTGCAGCTTAGACATCTCATGGGGCTTAAAGGAGATGTACAGTTGGATGTCATCTGCATAAAGATGGTAGGAGATTCCTTTGGAGGAGCTCAGGATGTGCTGAAGAGGAAGCAGATAGAGGAGGAAGAGCAGAGGCCCCAGCACAGAACCTTGTGGGACACCATGGGTAAGAGAGGTGGTGGAGGACCTAAACTTGGAGACGGCCACAGAAAAGGAGCGCTCAGAGAGATAAGAGGAGAAGCGTACCGTTGCACCCCTAATAGATATATACCATTACTGAATTATGGTCTGGCCATAATCCATGTGATGCAGCCGCGTATAAAACTCGACACAGCTGTGTAGCCTAAACCGATTCAATGCAACTCCAACTCAAAATTAGCTCGTTTTCTTGCATTTATTAAAAAGTTGGACTTTTAATGCGTTTCTTTTTTCAAACAATAAATAATTCCAACATATTAAACTATAGAAATAAAAAGATTTAAAAAATACTTACACTGTTGCTTTTGCCATCACTTTGTTAAAGGTCTTCTTCAATTGAACATCTACTTTTGGAGAAGACTCCAATAAACCCTCATCAGCATCAGCAGCGTCACCCCTCCTGCACATAAGTAAAATAAAAGCATAAAAATATATACACCAAACAGAAAAATAACAGAAAGCGTTCTGATCTTTGTACTTTTCTGTCACTTGTCCGGTGCACTGAGGTTTCTGGGCGGGTAGAGGGTCTTTTTGAGGTTCCTCATCTTCACTGTTGAAGAAAATCGGGGACACAACACACCCGTATTCAGGCCTTTCGATGCAGTTCTTATTTGTGTTCTGTTCAATTGGGCTGGAGGTCTTCACTGGGTCAAGGCATCTGATTGGGACACTTACATCTGTAACAAAGGAAAAGGTTCTACTTATTAAAAAGAGGAAACAAAACAAGAAAGAAGAGCAAAATATGAATAAAATAATGAACGAGTATAAGTCGGTTTCTGACAAGAGTATAGTTGGGGGTCTGGTGGTCTTGCAACAGGATCAACGAAATCTTCATCGGGACACTAAAATAAAATAAATAAATAAATAAATAACACTGAATGACACAATACACTCAAAGGCTTCAAATCTAGTCAACATGACACTTTAAACATTTTATGTTTGTGATTTCAAATCAACCTAAAGTACTGACTGGAATGCGACCAGCGATTTGACATCCAGGACGTTTTTTCTGCAGGACTGGGGAAGCTTGTGTGTCATTTCGGTATGAGGCTGAATAAGAACCCTGGTGCAGAACAGTAGTCAGATGTGGCTCGGCTGTGGACAAAAAGGGTGAACAGGAGTTAATTAAATGCAGATGAAATTTTAAAATAAATGTGATTGAATTTCAGTCACCAATGTCATCAAACATCTTGTCAACATCATCCAGAGTGACCAATTTCTTCCACTGATCAGACTGCCTGAAAGACAAAATATACATAAAGTTTTATTTATGTTAAAACATACAGGTTTGTTGATTGCTGGGTTTAAATGATGCTGATTCACTTAATTAAAAAAAATACCAAAACTCCTTTTTTAAATAGAATTTTTTTTGTAAAATTATGTCTAATCGTACCTTTTCTTTTCTGAAATGTAACAGAGTTTCCTCCTGGGTCTCACCTGGAAACACAATTAATTATATCACTTTATAGAAGGAATAAAGAGATCACCAGCTAAAGTAATCTGTTAACTCAGACTGATTTAGCTTTACAAAATCGTACTTCAGTATTTTTTTAAATAAAGTACAACAACCTAATGAGATGAAAGGAGAAAAAAGTATTTATCAGTTAAAGAACATTAAAATTTACTACATAATAAACATGGCGTATTAAAAATGATCAAATAACAAAGTTAAATTGAATAGTTATGTAAAATCGTATTTAACAAGTAAATCAAACCATGTATCAAGTATTTAGCTAACATTAACAGTTTATTAGGATGTCTTTTTCTTCCATAAGGCTAATAACCTGGTTTCCATTCGAAACAGGTAGAATTTGAGGCCAAATCCTGACATTGTGTACAATTTTCATCAGAAAAACAAGTCAAAACAACAACACAGCCACGACTGAAGCTGAAATAGGTCGGTTTGAATCTGCTTCGCCTTTCATTAACTTCTTGTCATTCGAATGAAAATTGTTAAAGTAGTAGTTTTTATTTGTTTTAATGAGAAACAATCTGAAAAAACTTTTGCTTCACTCACCAGAGTAGGATATTTGGCTTCCATTGGCCTGCCTGTATTTGTTTTAAGTTTCCACGTCAACGTCAATCTGCTCTTCCTTTACATTTGACGTTAGCTATAATTCCTAATCAAAAATTTCCACTCGACTGCTTTTATGAGCGGTCACTCAAAAAAAATACGAGAATAAAACAATTTAATAGCCAGAGGAGAAAGGGATAACATTTTAGACGACGTAAACTAGCAAAACAATGGCGCAGATAAATATTGCTTCAGAAAACCCGCGCATGAATGTTTTAGTAAATCCCTCTGTACAGTCTTACAGGCAAAACGTTCATTTCAACGTACCACACTTTAACCTACAGAAAGTGCTCGCCTAAAATTTGAACTAAATCAAGTAGCAAATAAAAGTTCTCTCTAATTAATAATGCTAGTTGTAAACAAAAAACATTCTAATTTAAGAAAATGTTTAGCCTGAAAGATATTTTACGGGGGCAAAATTCTCTGGACAGTCAGATCTACTTCTCCTTCTTCTGTGGAGCTGACGTATGCTTTACTGTCACCTACTGTTTTAAAATACACGTTGCACAAAAATATGTTTTATATAATAAAATTTGGGCTAGTAAAAACTAAAATTTTGTAATTTTAAACTGGAAATAAAGTGAACTGCAATCCTTTTTTATTTTGTTTATATATCTCTCTAAAGTTTCCTGTTCTGAGTATTTAACATTAAATACATTGCTTTAAATTTATATTGAACATTCTTTTAAATATGCAACTAATTTAATAGTGTTTTGAAGAAAAGGGAAACACTTTTTGTACCTTTCTGTTGTTTACCACTCTTGTTATAGTTTTAGTTGAAGGTTAAAAATAAATTAAAAATCCTTACAAACAATAACCAGGAAAAAAAAAACAAAAACAAAGGCACACTTTGAAATTAATGCAAACATCTAAGAACTTTAATTAAATATTTTTACATTAAACTACATTTTGTGCAAAAAAAGGGAAATATAATTAGTAAACTAATGATATGAGGTACAGTTTTGAAGGATATATTTTTTAAAACTATACAACTAAACTGCATCTTTAAAAAGTTTTGCCAACAAAAAACATAAACGGAAAATGAAAAAAACAAAAAATTGCAATATTATACATTATGATGTATGTGTCAAAATTTGTCAAAAATAACATAACTGACATTTGATACTAAACAAATTATGAAATAAACTCCAGCAGAGTGTTTCTACTGCAGATTCTCTTATCTTAATTCAGCAAAACACCCATAAAGGTTCGTAGGTGGTCCCACAACGCTTAAAATAGCATTAACACAGTCATAAATTACAAAAAAAAAAAAACGTAACAATAACAAATAACAAAAATGCTCATTGAAATATGATGTTCTGTCCCCCAGCGATCTCCATCACTTCCATTTTTTCATGACCCCCATCTTTATAGAGCGGCTGCTTCAAACTTCTCCAAACAATCAAAACAATCCGGGTAACAAGCAGCACAAAGGCAACAGCCAGCAGCACAGCTGGAAGAGAAAAACATGATTTACATTATTGCTTTCTATTGTTATTTTGTTCAGAACATTTTAATCCTTAAAAGCTCTGATCTGACTCTTTTACTGAGAGCTCTTTCATCATCTTTTCAACCTACCGATGAAGATGCCGTTGCCAATGGGTGAAGCGGTGTCATAATTTTTATCCATGTTCCCTGACAGAGCCCAGATCACGACAGGGTAGGTGATGAAGATGTACCGCACATACTTCTCCAGAACAAAGTTTTCCAAAACAAACCTGCAAACCAAACTTTAGAGTCTCCTAGAAAAATCCTCCATTAAGTCAACGTCTTTCTAAATCAAGTCCACTCACCAAACGATCAACAGCACGGTCAGGAGGGAGTACGAAAGGGTGGCAGCGCCTGCTGGGGACATCTCTGCGTGATAACTCAACACTATCGTCAGGTTGAGAAGCGTAGCTATGGTTGTCCATGTGGTGTAAATCATCACACCGTTCTGAACCTGCAAATCCACATTCAAAGGGTAAAAAACATGCTTTTACGAGGGGTGGGACTCCATTTAAAAATTATCTAATAAATGTATCTAATTATGCTTTGTAATTAATTAATCTTCATTAATCACATTTTAATCGTTCAAGACTATTTGTGTCCAAGAATTTTTTTTCAATTAAAAATTATGTTAGTGAGGCACAAATAACATACCCACATTTTAATGAGTTTATTTCTGTAACCACAAGGTCTGTTTGATTACACTGGTCTCATTCTAAAGGTAAGCATTGTGGGATTTGTTAGGATGTGTAAATATTGTTATTTGTGTTATTGATGAAGTGTAAATGGACATTGAACAATGTAAATGCTGTGTACTGATCTGACCACTAGGTGGCAGCAGAACACTGCTGATATATGCAGTGGTGTGGTCTAATGAGCTTTGAAAGAAAAGCGTCTGGACTTTTTTGAGTTGCTTGAAGACGTTTCACCTCTCATCCGAGAGGCTTCTTCAGTTCTAAGGTCAAATGGTGGAGAGTCCCAGATTCAAACCCAGTGGGAGTTTCCCCCCGAAGAGGGGGAAACAAAAGACCCCCTGATGATCTTCTACATAAACACATGAGCCAAGGTGTGAGGGTGGGTGTGGGTCCTACTCAGCCAGAGTTTTGGGTGAGCTCTTTGTGAAGCCTGGCCCCACATTATCATGTGAATTCCTGAGGTCAGATGGCCCAGGATATGCGTGGGCGTTGAGGCATCTGGGAAGGGATCTCAAAACTGGATTATAGGTGGCAGACAGTTAATCCAGTCATGAGATCCCTTCCCAGATGACCATTTGACCTTAGAACTGAAGAAGCCTCTCGGATGAGAGGTGAAACATCTTCAAGCAACTCAAAGAAGTCCAGACACTTTTCTTTCAAAGCTCATTAGACTACAATGACCTGGATGACTGAGAACCTTCACAGACATATAGTGGTGTGGTGTATGTGATGTAGAGTTCAGGGGAAGTTCTGCCAAGGGTTACAAGATGAATGTTTTGTGTACACTTGTCCTTCCTGCTGTAGGGACAAGCGTAACAAAAAACTTTCCACTCGACTGCTTAGTAATAAGGAAATCATTCTATGATTTCCTTATTACTAAGTTCATATGGATAAAGTTACTGCCTGCCTGCTTTCCACCAACTACAAAACATAACAGTAAAAAAGTAGATTTATTTCTTCCTTTCTTTTCTTAAAGAATAGCAACGTGTCATGATTCATTTAACTTTAGTTTTAGTTGTGTTTGGAGCTCAGAAAAAGGGTTTATATGGTCTTGTAGCTCAGGCTCTGCAGTCTTGTTAGAGGTGCAGCTTGATGATTGCTGTTGATTATATAGGTCATAAGTTGTGATGCTTAATTTTTCCGGCTCTGGTTCAAAGGCCTATATTTAAAAACATTATTTTTTTCTAACTATTATTCGTTATTAACGCTTTAAGTTCCCACCGCTAATTTTTACTAAAAAACGTTGCAAACCTTCACCACATTTTGAACACTGACCAAAACACGCATGAGCCACAGGTCTGCTTTGTGGTACTTATTGAGCCAGGGTCCATAAATATGGAGGCTGTGACTGATGAAAACTATCATGAGGTAGTTTGTGCAGATGATCAGGATGAGGAAGACCAGTGCAACAATCATCATCCTGCAAAGATAAAAATAAAAAGAAACTTTTTTTTAAACACCCAGATTGCTTGTTTGACATCTTTTTGCATCATTAGATAAACGAGACGCTCACCCTCGGTCCCAGACAAGAAGCCAAGCGATGTTAAAACACTGATTGAGACACCAGCTGAAGAAGAACCCATATGGAAGCACTGCGGGTCTGCAGTAGACATAGCCGTATGCATTTCTGCAAACACAATTTATCTTTTAAAGGTGTAGAATTATATTTTTTTAATGTTTTTTCTGATATAATCGGTCTCTCTGAGTTTTTCATGCAGGCTGAACATGAAAATAGTCTCCTACACCTATCTCCTGCATTAGCTTCTGATAGAAAACAGACTAGGAAACTCTAGGATTTGAAAATCCTGACAGGTCTACGTCTCACTGTCACGGACTCACCCATATTGACCCACGACGGGGGAGGTTGTTATTGATTTAGTGTCTGAGAAACAGCAGAGAACGTCTCAGCTAGTTTAAGCTAACCATTAGCATTAGCAACTCCACCATACAGCAGAAGCTCCTCCTGGCTAGTGTTGTTTGTGCAGATAAAACATCAGCGTTGCAAGTCAGTGGTAGAGTCACATTGCTGTTCTCCAATCCCGGGTGGGATGTTCAAAAAAATCAGAAATAAGACTACAAAACCGTCCGTCTGAAGCTCAGCAGTGATGTGGGCAACTTTGAAGTCAGAGAAATGGTGCACCGGTATAAATCTCACCCCCAAGAACGACTTATAAGGCATTCGTTCCTTCTAGAGACCACACTGCCAATGTATTCATTAAGCGAGTGATCTACTCCTTTAATGCTGTTTTTCCCCACGAGACAAGTGAATTCATCGTTCTAGTTCAGAACAGAAAATGTCAGCTGTTGCCACAACCTTCTGCAGAGTCCCACAGTGATGTAAGCAACCATCGCCATCAGCCAGATGTAGATAAGGGTCCAGATGTAGAAGGTCCATCCCGAAGGTGTGAGCTGTGTGTCAAACACAGCCGACACGTTGGCTGTCGTGGTTTGATAGGGGCCTAAAAGGAGAAACATTACATTTCAGCTCTTCTTTTACTGGTAAAGAAACTGAGATTAAATCAGAATAAACTCACCAACTCCAACAACAGACAGCCCATTGAACACCAGACTTATCACAAAGACGACGACTGATACGACTACAGCAGCAAGACGTCCATAATTGTGCTTTTCCATGTTGTCTGCTGTCAAAGTTTTTAAAAAATGACTTAGTTAAGCTTAGAGATGCACATATCTTCACATAGAAGGTAGAAATAAAATGGAAGAGAATTCCTAGAGCTGTTTAAAGTTCATCAAGATTTACACCACGCCTACAAGTCTGATCATTAACAGCTTTTGGAAAAGTCTCACATGTTCCAGTTTTATGGAGCTCAATAAAAACACCTGCAGCGTTACAAAACAAGACAAAGCAGCTGTTCTGAGATCAGCCGCATCTTACTGTTTTCTCCTGTTGCTGCAAACCGAAGAGGGAGAAGTAAATGCACCTGCGACAGAAGAGCGTGGGTTTTATAGGGCATCAGTTAAATAAGAGGAGAGATTATGACCCATCTTAGGGTCACATGTCCTCTTATCTTATATGTTTCTATTATGAAACATATCATTATGGAAACATTATGAAACTGATCGATATACTCACGTGTTCCACATTTATTCTATGATTTCCTTATTATTAATCCATTTTTATTCATTTTACACTTGAATTAAGTACCTGGAAGTTCTAAAAACCACAAAAATCAGACAGAGAAGTTGATTAAAAAGTGCTATTTCTGCTAAAAGGTTCCTTTGCTGTCTTTTACTCTCAGAAATTAGTTTAATTGAAACTATATCAACGGCTTTTGTGTAATATTTGGCGGTCTGCAACAGAAGATGTGACAAAAAAAGTCTGAACGATTGTGAGAAGCATAAAAACCAGCAGCTCAAAGTGTTGGCTTCAAGTTTTTCTAGCAATTCACCCAATGAATGTATAAAAAAATGCTAAAATTATTTACAGAACAACTGAGACATTTGGTGTCTCCTTGTGGCTCCATAACCTTAATCTCTCCCACGTTTTTATGTTTTCATCTTGTTTATTTTCTGTTTAAATTTAAATATTTGACTCGTCTTTTGAAAGCACAGTTAACTGGTTTAGTTGGAAATTAAGAAACATGCTTATTTAAATAAGATCACAGAGAACTGGGTGAAAATATAAAATATAAATGATTTGTGTTTTGTCCTCTCATCCTAGTAGAGTCAGTTAGGCTCAGTAGAAGGGGTGTGGTCTCCTGTAGAGTGACATCTTGTCAATGCAGCACAGGAAATCTGGTGTGATGATTCACAAAAGTGTTAGAAGAATTTACTCAACAACTATCAGCTAAACCCAGGTGATTGGAGGTGTCTTAGATGATGTTTCTCCTGATAAACAGGAAGAAAGCTGCTGATTTATTTGTCCAATCATCCACCAACTCATAAATACCTATTAAATCAATGGTGAATTTATTTTCTCTAACATGCAGATTGTGTTTAATATTTGTAACACAACAAAAATATCTGATTCTGCAAAGTCAAAATGTGGGTGATACATTTGAAATTTAGGGGTTAGTTCCTTTCAAGATGGCCGCCACACTGATCCAACATCACGAACAACTAAAACATCTATAACACCACCAGATATTTAGCTACGACTTTACATCCTGCAGGGAGACACAAGGATCCAGTTTAGGGCTGGGCAATATGGCCTAAAATCAATATCACGATATATTGAGGATTTCACCTCGATAACGATAAATCGATGATAACTACAGGTATGTGCAGAAACAAAAGTTGCCCACTAGATGGGGCTGTCACATGTATTAGATGAGTCACATTTTTACATGACTCAAGGTGGTACACATTGCCAACCTACACACATCTTTTAATTTTTTTTATTATCAAATTTATTCACATGGGAAAAATTATGACGATAAGAGTCAGAAATTTCCATAACGATAAATTTTTTATTTATTGCCAGCCCTAGTCCAGTCAAGGTACCGCATCTCATTTCAATGATGCTAAATTGTTACGTGGCAGCAGTTTTTCTTTGACCTCTCAGGGATAAATTGGATATTTAGAACTCTGATATCATCAGTAAATCTCAAATACTGGCCCTTTTTGATGGTTTTTGCTGCTTTTTAATACGTGGATTTAAAGATCAAATCTGGATAAATGTTTCTGGACGTTAAAGAGAAATTCCACAAAAGCATAAAACTTCATCACACTTGTGTTTATTTTAATAATACAAAAACGTTTGAGGTCATAAACAACAAAAAACAAATAAGAAAAAGACAAGGAATGACAGATTAACTTAAAATGCACTTTCAAACATGGCAAAGGCATCAGAAAACATCGACAGTCACGTTTATCTCATGGCTTCCTTCCACCTTCACGTTGACAGGCTTCATCGTTATCCGAGGTCTTCCCAGGGACAAAGTCATCATTTACGACACACAACAAAGTAATTTCAATATGCACAAAGATATGAGTCAGACGCTTACAAAAATATCTTCTTCTGCTTCTCTGCAATCTCCATCGGTGACATGGCATCAGGGTTCCTGTTTTTGTAAAGCGGATTTTGGATTTGCCTCCAGGTGACCAAAATTATCCGTGCGACGAACAAAAGGGAGGTTAATCCCAACAGCGTAGCTGTAGAAAAGAGGTGAAGGATTAGGTGGGTGTTCAGTTTTAATTCAAGCAGATTTTTGAGGATTTCAAACTCAGAAAATAAAACATCCTGAAATGCAGAATTAGGTTGTAGACTCACTATTTTCAGTCACATTTAATTATTGTGTTGTAGTTCCGCAAATGTGATTTGCTTGATTGGTCAGGTTTGTGAACCAGTTTTCACCAACCATCTAGCAGTTTGCAGAAAAAATATAAAAACATCTAAAATCCCAATTTATTACCGTGCTTGGTTGCTTTGAAGAGTTTTTGTGTGTCTGCTGCTTTTTAAGCTTTCTTTATATTTTTGCTTAATGCACTGATGTAAACTGTCACCAGAGCTCTGACCAACTACATTGTCCAGACCTGTTTTTTGCAGCTTTGGAAACATAAACAGAGCTGCATGCTCTCTTAGCTCCTCCGTTTCAAACAGCATTTCTCTAATTGTGCTACCAGAACTTTAAATGTCTACCATGCAAACTGGAGCTCATTTCATCAAATAATTCCCAAACCTGATAGAAACCAAAACATTTTTATATTTAAAGGGTTAGCATAAGGTTTAGGGTAACATGCATTATTGCTTAAATCAGATTTTCCTCACCAATGAAGATGTTGTTTCTAGTAGGAGATGCACTGTTATAGTTTTCAGTGAACACACCCGTCAGCGCCCAAATCACCACTGGATAGATGGCGAGAATGAACCTCACGTGTTTGTCTAGGACAAAATTCTCTAAGAGGAACCTGGAACGAGAGGACAGTCAGGACACGCTGTCCACCTGTTCCTTCTTTCTTTTCTTTTTTTATAAAAACAAAATTAGTTTTTCTTCTCGTACCACACAATCATCAACACAGTCAAAAGTGAAAGTGAAACAGTGGCTGCATCTGAGCTGGACATTGTAGCATCATAAGTTAGAACGATAGTCAGGTTGATTAGAGATGCAATGGTCGTCCACGTTGCATAAATAGCGACTCCGTTCTGGATCTAAAATACAGGGAAAAAAAGCAAAGATGTAGAAAAACTGCAAAAAAGAAATGATTGAAATAAATGTTTGAGGGATAAAGCAGTTTGTCTTTAACTGACCAGCACCCGATGGAGCCACAGATCAACTTTGTGGTATTTGTCGAGCCAGGCTCCGTAGTAACTCAAACCAGCGCAGGAGAAGAAAATTACAACGTAGTTGGTGGAGGCGATCAGGATGAGGAACGCCAGGGCAGCAGGCATAAACCTTTCAAAAGGTGGAAAAACAGAAAAGGCTGCATGAAGCAAGAAACATTTGTCCAGCTTGTTTCTCTTTAAAGGTGCATAAAGTAAGAATGACTCCATGTGGTTAAAGGTGGGTACTGCATCAAAACAAACAGATCCGTTATCAGCAGCTGTTTCCAGCCACGGCTCTGTGCCAAAAGATTCTGGATGACAAGCAAAGACGAGTCATACATAGTACGTTCATAAGTAGATAAAAACATTTAACTGTAATATTGAGTTGTTTGTCGTTTAAAAGTAGCTTGAGATATTTTTAGATCTAATTCTTATAGCGTTGTTAGCTCAGGGTTAGCCTCTAGCCTCCTTTGGATGCTTGGGAGTAAAACTCTGGGGCGTTTCTTATGCTGGCTTCCATTCTTTCAGCAATGCTGCTGCTTGTTGCCAGACAGTGTCAAACAGCAGTTTTCCAGCACAGACTTGGCAACCTTGCAAATGTAAGTGGCTCTGGAACCAGGAAGTATGGAGGCTCTCATATGCTCGTGTTTAGAAACATTTTTTTTCAAGAATTGGTACATTTGTAATTAAAAACTCTAATAAAAAGTCATAATTACATATAAACTTCCTCGTTAATGTTCTGTAAGGTAGGATTGGACTAGATTGGGTATAATTAAGATTATAATATTTGAATAGAAAAGTCATCTAATTGTCCTTCAAAAAAGAGAATCTCAAAATGTTTAATGTTTAGACGTTTATATGTTTTTAAATCCTCTGTTTCTTAAAGTACCATAAAGTATGTAAAATATAAGATTTTATAAGTATTTTTTTATTATATTTGCCCTAACAAAACTAATTTACTGAACTTTTGAAACTTATCCATTACAAATCTGACAAATGTGACTCCTAACTTCATTTGAATGTATAAAAAAAATCAAGTGTTGATCTCACTTCCGGTCCCACAGCAGCAACCACCCCAGATTAAGGAGCAGATTCAAAGACCAAGCCACAAAGAATCCATGAGGTAAAACAGCAGGACTGCAGTAGACGTAACCGTAAGCATTCCTGCAGAGAAAATCCACAAATGCAATATTGTTTTATTCACACTGATAATTTAGCAGAAGAAGGCTTTGAATTAGGCTTTTCTTACTTTCTAAAGATGCCAGAGAGAACATAGACCATCACTGAAGCCAGAAAGAGGTAAATGATGGTCCAGATGGTGAAGGTCCAACCTGACGGTGTGATCTGGGTTACAAACTCATCTGAAATGTTACTGGTACGGGACAAGAATGGGTCTGGTGGGAACAAATTCAGAAAATATATTTTAATTAATTAATTAGCAATATAATTCTAAAAAACAGTTTCTACAATTTGATTCTAAACAGAATTAAAGCTGCAAGCAGCGTCGTTCGGCCCTCGCAGCTCCGCGCCGCTCCGGCCTGGCTGGCAGCCCGGGGCACCAGGGCATGTCTTGCAGAACAGAAACGTCAACCACCCCGACACCAGAAACCGCAAATGGCCTCCTAGTCCGCACCTCACCCTGACTTAGCATCCCCTCTGAGCTCACCATTAAATTGAATTGTAAGGTTTCGGCGTTACGCCAGAACTCGCCATGGCATCAAAGCCCCTCCCTTTCTGGAAAGCTATCAGATCTGAATGGTCATTACAGCATCATGAAGACAGTGCATGACCTTAGGGTCATGTTGACTAAATTAGAGGGGACAAGTATGGGCATTTCAGCATAAAAAATAAATTCCTGTAGTCAGGGGGCGGGGCTTAGGTGATGTCAGCTGTCCACATTGTCATTGTTTACAGATATGGTCAATGATCACACAGACAAAGTTCGAAAAAGATCTGATCATGCACATGGGAGTTATTAAGTCAAGTAAAGTAATGGCGAAAGGTCAACGTTTGAGGCTTAGCCACGCCCACACCTTTCAACTTTTGAAAAATCCGACGGTTGAATTTTTTCCCCTACGTCTTAAGAGTGTATTGCAGAAGTTTGAAGGTGATTGGTGAAAAGGGCGACGGAGCATCACTCTCCAAACAATGTGTGCGAAAACCACTAAATCACGTACTTGCACCAAAATGGCCGACTTCCTGTGCGACTTTACGCTTGGCTCCAAGAGACTTTTTTGTAGGTCCTGAGACCCCACATTAGTGTACCAAATTTCGTAATCCTCAGTCAAAGCATGGCTTGGGGCTGACAGTTTTAATGGCTCTAGGGGGCGCTATTTAAGAATATAGGCCATGCCCACAAACTTCAGCTGTCTATTTCTCTTGGAGCTCAGACTAGGATCACTCACCAGAAGTTTCGTAGCAATATCACGATAACTGAAGAAATGAGAGACAAACGTATTTCCATGGCGTGATGGCGATTTTCGCCATGGTCCCAAAGCCCCGCCTTTTTTCAAAACCTGCCAGTACTGGAGACCAAGTAACCTCAACTTGTCTACTGCTGTTTGCCACAGAATCCTGGTGATTGGGTAAAAGGAGTTCAGTAGGGAGCTGTGAAAAAAAGAGTAGCGTGGCGACAGGTCAAAGTTTGAGGCTTAGCCACGCCCACACCTTTCAACTTTTGAAAAATCCGACGGTTGAATTTTTTCCCCTATGTCTTAAGGGTATATAGCAGAAGTTTGAAGGAGATTGGTGAAAAGGGCGACGGAGCATCACTCTCCAAACAACGTGTGCGAAAACCACTAAATCGCGTACTTGATCCAAAATGGCCGACTTCCTGTGCGACTTTGAACTTGACTCCAAGAGACTTTTTTGTAGGTCCTGAGACACCACATTAGTGTACCAAATTTCGTAATCCTCAGTCAAAGCATGGCTTGGGGCTAATAGTTTAAATGGTCCTAGGGGGCGCTATTTCAAAACATAGGCCACGCCCACAAAATTCAGCTGTCTATTTCTCTTGGAGCTCAGACTAGGATCACTCACCAGAAGTTTCGTAGCAATATCACGATAACTGAAGAAATGAGAGACAAACGTATTTCCATGGCGTGATGGCGATTTTCGCCATGGTCCCAAAGCCCCGCCTTTTTTCAAAACCTGCCAGTACTGGAGACCAAGTAACCTCAACTTGTCTACTGCTGTTTGCCACAGAATCCTGGTGATTGGGTAAAAGGAGTCCAGTAGGGAGCTGTGAAAAAAAGAGTAGCGTGGCGACAGGTCAAAGTTTGAGGCTTAGCCACGCCCACACCTTTCAACTTTTGAAAAATCCGACGGTTGAATTTTTTCCCCTATGTCTTAAGGGTATATAGCAGAAGTTTGAAGGAGATTGGTGAAAAGGGCGACGGAGCATCACTCTCCAAACAACGTGTGCGAAAACCACTAAATCCCGTACTTGATCCAAAATGGCCGACTTCCTGTGCGACTTTGAACTTGACTCCAAGAGACTTTTTTGTAGGTCCTGAGACACCACATTAGTGTACCAAATTTCGTAATCCTCAGTCAAAGCATGGCTTGGGGCTAATAGTTTAAATGGTCCTAGGGGGCGCTATTTCAAAACATAGGCCACGCCCACAAAATTCAGATGTCTATGTCTCTTGAGAGTCAGACTAGGATCACTCCCCATAAGTTTCGTAGCAATATCACGATAACTGAAGAAATGAGAGGCAAACGTATTTCCATGGCGTGATGGCGATTTTCGCCATGCTCCCAAAGCCCCGCCTTTTTCTGAAACCTGCCAGTGCTGGATACCAAGTGACCTCAAGTTGTCTACTGCTATTTGCCAGAGATTCTTGCTGATTGGGTAAAAGGAGTCCAGTAGGGAGCTGTGAAAAAAAGAGTGGCGTGGCGACATGTCAAAGTTTGAGGCTTAGCCACGCCCACACCTTTCAACTTTTGAAAAATCCGACGGTTGAATTTTTTCCCCTATGACTTAAGAGTATATGGCAGAAGTTTGAAGGCGATTGGTGAAAAGGGCGACGGAGCATCACTCTCCAAACAACGTGTGCGAAAACCACTAAATCGCGTACTTGGACCAAAATGGCCGACATCCTGTGCGACTTTGCACTTGGCTCCAAGAGACTTTTTTGTAGGGCCTGAGACACCACATTAGTGTACCAAATTTCGTAATCCTCAGTCAAAGCATGGCTTGGGGCTGACAGTTTTAATGGTCCTAGGGGGCGCTATTTCAGAAAATAGGCCACGCCCACCGGATGTTCACATCAGATCTTTTGGGGGGCTGGACTAGGATCACTCACAAGAAGTTTCATGACGATATCTTTAGAAATGACGAAATGGGAGGCAAACGTAAGGCCACAGCGGTACGCCTGACTTCGCCGCGCCGCCACAGCCCCGCCCTCTGCCGAAAACTCCCATAAAGTGACGCCAAGCAACCTCCACTTGTCTTGAGTTACCAGCTACAAATATTTGGTGATTAAGTGAAATGGGGCAATTTGGGACCTTTCACAGTAAAACTTGACCTTTTTGGTCCTGAGGGGGCGGGGCTTGTGTGATGTCATCATCCGACCATTTATTTTACTTTGTGGGTGGATGACGAATGACCACAGAAAGTTTGGTAACTCTATTCCATTCAGTTATGAAGTTATAGCAATTTAAAAAAAATTGGCGAGTAGTCAAACTTTGAGGCCTGGCCCCGCCCCTTCAACATATACGAAAACTCAGAATCCTTGTCTCATTTTTTTCGCCCATCTCTTCTGAGCAATTTTACACCACTTTTGAGACGATTGTGCGAAAAGTGATCGAGCAATCCAGTCAGAAACGGACCCTAAAAACGGCCAAAACTGCAAAAAATCGCCATTTCAACCCAAAATGGCCGACTTCCTGTTTGATATTGACCATGCTTGCAAGAGACTTTTCTGTGCGGACTGTTGAGTACTACAAGTGTACCAAATTTCATAACTGTACGATAAACTAAGCTTTATGGGGAGGGTTTTTTTTCACTTTCTAGGGGGCGCTGTTCAGTCATTTCCTGTGCGATTTTTTTGGGACCTTTAAAATATCAAATTTTTCACCAGGCCTGACATGTTTGCAAAATATTGTGAGTTTTGGGGAATGATAAGGTCCCCAAAAGGCCATTCAAAGCGGGCTAAGAATAATAAATAAAAAAGAATTAAAGCTGCAAGCAGCGTCGTTCGGCCCTCGCAGCTCCGCGCCGCTCCGGCCTGGCCGGCAGCCCGGGGCACCAGGGCACGTCTGGCAGAACAGAAACGTCAACCACCCCGACACCAGAAACCGCAAATGGCCTCCTCGTCCGCACCTCACCCTGACTCAGCATCCCCTCTGAGCTCACCATTAAATTGAATTGTAAGGTTACGGCGTTACGCCAGAATTCGCCATGGCATCAAAGCCCCTCCCTATCTGGAAAGCTATCAGATCTGAATGGTCATTACAGCATCATGAAGACCGTGCATGACCTTAGTGTCATGTTGACTAAATTAGAGGGGACAAATATGGGCATTTCAGCATAAAACAATAGACTTCCTGTATTCAGGGGGCGGGGCTTAGGTGATGTCAGCTGTCCACATTGTCATTGTTTAAAGATATGGTCAATGATCACACAGACAAAGTTCGAAAAAGATCTGATCATGCACATGGGAGTTATTAAGTCAAGTAAAGTAATGGCGAAAGGTCAAAGTTTGAGACTTAGCCACGCCCACACCTTTCAACTTTTGAAAAATCCGACGGTTGAATTTTTTCTCCTATGTCTTAAGAGTAAATAGCAGAAGTTTGAAGGCGATTGGTGAAAAGGGCAACGGAGCATCACTCTCCAAACAACGTGTGCCAAAACAACTAAATCGCGTACTTGGACCAAAATGCCCGACTTCCTGTGCGACTTTGCACTTGGCTCCAAGAGACTTTTTTGTAGGTCCGGAGACACCTCATTAGTGTACCAAATTTCGTAATCCTCAGTCAAAGAATGGCTAGGGGCTGACAGTTTTAATGGTCCTAGGGGGCGCTATTTCAGAAAAATGGCCACGCCCACAAATTTTAGCTGTCCATTTCTATTGGGGGTCAGACTAGGATCACTCACAACAAATTTCGAGGTGATATCTCGATAACTTAAGAAATGAGAGGCAAACGTATTTCCATGGCGTGATGGCGATTTTCGCCATGCTCCCAAAGCCCCGCCTTTTTTCAAAACCTTCCAGTACTGAAGACAAAGTAACCTCAACTTGTCTACTGCTGTTTGCCACAGAATCCTGGTGTTTGGGTAAAAGGAGTCCAGTAGGGAGCTGTGAAAAAAAGAGTGGCGTGGCGACAGGTCAAAGTTTGAGGCTTAGCCACGCCCACATCTTTCAACTTTTGAAAAATCCGACGGTTGAATTTTTTCCCCTATGTCTTAAGAGTATATAGCAGAAGTTTGAAGGAGATTGGTGAAAAGGGCGACGGAGCATCACTCTCCAAACAACGTGTGCGAAAACCACTAAATCGCGCACTTGGACCAAAATGGCCGACTTCCTGTGCGACTTTGCGCTTGGCTCCAAGAGACCTTTTTGTAGGTCCTGAGACACCACATTAGTGTACCAAATTTCGTAATCCTCAGTCAAAGCATAGCTTGGGGCTATTAGTTTAAATGGTCCTAGGGGGCGCTATTTAAGAAAACAGGCCACGCCCACTAAATTCAGATATCTATGTCGCTTGGGGGTCAGACTAGGATCACGCACCAGAAGTTTCGTAGCAATATCACGATAACTGAAGAAATGAGAGGCAAACATACTTCCACGGCGTGATGGCGATTTTCGCCATGCTCCTGAAGCCCCGCCTTTTTTTGAAACCTGCCAGTACTGGATACCAAGTGACCTCAAGTTGTCTACTGCTGTTTGCCAGAGATTCCTGCTGATTGGGTAAAAGGAGTCCAGTAGGGAGCTGTGAAAAAATGAGTGGCGTGGCGACAGGTCAAAGTTTGAGGCTTAGCCACGCCCACACCGTTAAACTTTTGAAAAATCCGACGGTTGAATTTTTTCCTCTTTGTCTTAAGAGTATATAGCAGACGTTTCAAGGAGATTGGTGAAAAGGGCGACGGAGCATCACTCTCCAAACAAGGTGTGCGAAAACCAGTAAATCGCGTACTTGGACCAAAATGGCCGACTTCCTGTGCGACTTTGCACTTGGGTCCAAGAGACTTTTTTGTAGGTCCTGAGACACCACATTAGTGTACCAAATTTCGTAATCTTCAGTCAAAGCATGGCTTGGGGCTGACAGTTTTAATGGTCCTAGGGGGCGCTATTTCAGAAAATAGGCCACGCCCACCGGATGTTCACATCAGATCTTTTGGGGGGCCAGACTAGGATCACTCACAAGAAGTTTCGTGATGATATCTTTAGAAATGACGAAATGGGAGGCAAACGTAAGGCCACGGCGGTACGCCTGACTTCGCCGCGCCGCCACAGCCCCGCCCTCTGCCGAAAACTCACATAATGTGACACCAAGCAACCCCCACTTGTCTTGAGTTACCAGCTACAAATTTGTGGTGATTTAGTGAAATGGGGCAATTTGGGACCTTTCACAGTAAAACTTAACCTTTTTGGTCCTGAGGGGGCGGGGCTTGTGTGATGTCATCATGCGACCATTCAATTTACTTTGTGAGGTGATGACGAATGACCACAGAAAGTTTGGTAACTCTATTCCATTCAGTTATGAAGTTATAGCAATTTAAAAATTTTTGGCGAGTAGTCAAACTTCGAGGCCTGGCCCCGCCCCTTCAGTATTTACGAAAAGTCAATTTTATTGTCTCATTTTGTTCGCCCATCTCTTCTGAGCAATTTTACAGAATTTTTGAGATGATCGTGCAAAAAATGATCGAGCAATCCAATCAGAAACGGACCCTAAAAACGGCCAAAACGGCAAAAAATCGCCATTTCAACCCAAAATGGCCGACTTCCTGTTTGATATTGACCATGCTTGCAAGAGACTTTTCTGTGCGGACTATTGAGTACTATAAGTGTACCAAATTTCATAACGGTACGATAAACTAAGCTTTATGGAGAGGGTTTTTTTTCATTTTCTAGGGGGCGCTGTTCAGCCAATTTCTTTGCGATTTTTTTGGGACCTTTAAAATATCAAATTTTTCACCAGGCCTGACAAGTATGCAAAATATTGTGAGTTTTGGGGTATGTTAAGGTCCCCAAAAAGCCATTCAAAGCGGCACCGGAATAATAAATAAAAATAATAATTAAAGCTGCAAGCAGCGTCGTTCGGCCCTCGCAGCGAAGATGCTCACCCTCCTTCCGCACCCCCTCCGCTCCATCCCCGACGCTCTCCAAACCCAGCTCCCCGCTGCTCCGTCCTGGCCGGCAGCCCGGGGCACCAGGGCACGTCCACGGACTGAAACGTCCACCACCCTGACACCAAGAAAAGCTAACAGTCACCTCGTCCACACCTCACACTGAATCAGCATCCCCTCCGAGCCTACCATTATATTACATGTCTCACCACTAGGGCATACTTTATCTTTAGCACACTGTTGGTGTGATGACACAGACCAACTTTAGTGCTTTTCTGCCCATATTTAATAAGTTATCGAAAGTTAAAGTTATCTAGGGGGTGCTGTGATCAATTTCAGAAAAATCCCATTGAGGTCAGCTTTGGTTGACAAAGACAGTTTTCTGTTATTTTGGCATCAAACGGACGTTGTGTGTGTTATCTACAGCCAGTGAGCTGAAAGGGGCGGAGCTACAGGGATTTGAACCAACAACCACATCAATGTGTTTGGTGCAGTCACGTGATGTCACAAGCCAAGTATAATGTCATTCTGACTTTGACTTTAGAAGTTAATAAAGTTTGAACCCATCTAGGGGGCGTTGTGACCATTTACAAGTAAATGCCATAGAGGTCATCTTTGGTCATCAAAGATGGTTTTCTGTTAATTTGGAATCAATCAAACGTTGCATGGGTCATCTAGAGACAAAAAGCTGTAAGTGGGTGGAGTTAAACTGAATTGAACAAGTGATCACATACATGTGTTGATTGCAGATGTGTGATGACTCCCACAATGTTTGATGTCGTTTGGAGCTTTTTTGCAGAAGTTACAAAGGTTTTTTGTATCTAGGGGGCGCTGTCCCAAATTTAAGAATTATTCCATGAAGAAGTTTGTAGGTTGATGACAGTCATTTGTGTGCAGTTTGGTGTGAATTGCATCATGCATGTGTTATTCAGGGCCTAATATCTGTCAGGGGGAGGAGCTAAAGCAATATCAACAACTTACCACAGGACTGTGGTGGGTGCCATTGTGTGAGTACACATAGCAAGTTTGATGCAGTTACGACCTCGTCTGTAGGAGTTATTACAGTTTTAATGGTGTGTAGGGGGTGCTGTGGTGACATTACACAACGTTCACAACCCGTGTGTGCCTCGTTGAATAAAGGGCATGATTGTTGATTGCCATGTTCAGTCTCGGGCAGATCGGAGGTTGTTAGTGGAAGTTACAGTCAAACGTAAGGTCACGGCGTCACGCCAGAATTCGCCGTGGCATCAAAGCCCTTCCCTTTCTGAAAAGCTATCAGATCTGAATGGTCATTACAACATCATGAAGACAGTGCATGACCTTAGTGTCATGTTGACTAAAGTAGAGGGGACAAATATGGGCATTTCACCATAAAAAAATAGACTTCCTGTAGTCAGGGGGCGGGGCATAGGTGATGTCAGCTGTCCACATTGTCATTGTCTTGAGATGTGGTCAATGATCACACAGACAGAGTTTGGTATAGATCTGATCATGCACATGGGAGTTGTTAAGTCAAGTAATGTAATGGCGAAAGGTCAAAGTTTGAGGCTTAGCCACGCCCACACCTTTATACTTGTATAAAATCCGACGGTTGAATTTTTTCCTCTATGTCTTAAGATTATATAGCAGGAGTTTGAAGGTGATAGGTGGAAAGGACGACGAGACATCATTCTCCTAATAACGTGTGTGAAAACCACTAAATCGAGTACTTGGACCAAAATGGCCGACTTCCTGTGCGACTTTGCACTTGGCTCAAAGAGACTTTTTTGTAGGTCCTGAGACCCCACATTAGTGTACCAAATTTCGTACTCCTCAGTCAAAGCATGGCTTGGGGCTGACAGTTTTAATGGACCTAGGGGGCGCTATTTCAGAAAATAGGCCACGCCCATTTGATGTTCACATGAGATCTTTTGGGGGGCCGGACTAGGATCACTCACAAGACGTTTCGTGACTGTATCTATAGAAATGACGACATGGGAGGCACATGTATGGCCACGGCGGTACGCCTGACTTCGCTGCGTCGCTACAGCCCCGCCTTCTGCAGAAAACACCCATAAAGTGACGCCAAGCAACGCCAACTTCTCTTCAGTTACCTGCTACAAATTCGGGCTGATTATTCGACAGGGCGAATTTTGGAAAATTTCCCAGTAAAACTTGACGTTTTAAGTCCTGAGGGGGCGGGGCTTGTGTGACATCATCCAGCGACCATTCATTTGTCTTCGGGGGGCGATGACGATTATCCATAGAAAGTTACTTTAACTGTAATTCTTTAATTTGTGAAATTATAGCAATTTGAATTTTTTTGGCGAGTGCTCGAACTTTGAGGCCTGGCCCCGCCCCTTCAGTATTTACGAAAAGTCAATTTTATTTTCTCATTTGAATCGTCCATCGCTTCTGTTCGATGGCACACTATTTTTGAGACTATGGTACGAAAAATGACGAAACTGTTCAACCAAATATAGACCCTAGAAATGGCCAAAACGGCTAAAAATCGCCATTTCAACCCAAAATGGCCGACTTCCTGTTTTATATTGACCATGGTTGCAAGAGGCTTTTCTGTGCGGACTGTTGAGTAGTACCAGTATACCAAATTTCATAACTGTACGATAAACTAAGCTTTATGGAGAGGGGTATTTTTCACTCTTTAGGGGGCACTGTTGAGCCACTTTTTTATCAACTTTCACATCGCCAGTGAAATACGTAAATTTCACGCACTTTCTATATTGGGCCAGAATTTGGTGACTTTTTGGATATGCTAAGACCCCCTAAAGGCCACCCAAAGACGCGGAAGAAAAAAGAAAGCGTAATAATAATAAACGGAGCAGATACAATAGGCCTTCGCAGCGCTTCGCTGCTCGGGCCTAATAAACAGAGCAAAAACAAGAGGCCTTCGCAGCGCTTTCGCTGCTCGGGCCTAATAAACAGAGCAAAAACAAGAGGCCTTCGCAGCACTTTCGCTGCTCGGGCCTAATTATTTCGTAAGGTGGACTTACTTTTTCCTGCTGCAGCCAGAGCAGAGAACGCCATGGTGATGATGAAGACAAACAGAGCCAGAATCATGGCAGTCAATAGGCTTATGTTATGTTTCGTCATAGTTGAGCTCTCGAATTTTAAAAAAATAAATAAATAACACAAAAATTAAAGTTTTTTATGTGGAAAGCATACAGAAAACTGCACAAAAATACAGTTTTTGTGTTAAATTACTGCAGAAACCTTCTTTTCCTGTGAAGAGAACCGTGAGACTGGTGAGGAGGAGTGGCGCAGTTTCATATAAAGGAAGTGTTTGTGTAACAGTTTTATAACGCTTTAACACGTGCAGGTTTGAAACTTACATCACCAAAAGCTCATTTAAGTTTCTACTGTTGAATGGTGAGAGAAAAAATACCGTCACATTAAAAAGACTTGGTTTTATCAGTCATTATGACACGAAAGAGGTTGGATAGCTGTGTTTATGACTCACTCATGCAAGGTTGGGTGTTAGCTCCGCCCCAACAGGTGAGAACAGTTTGGCTTCTTGTGATTGGTCAATCTCATTCGCTTGTGACAAGTTATGAAAGTGGCTGCTTCCTCAGTTGGATAACAGCTATTATGAGTCTTGAAGCAGATTACCACACTGGTGTAATGCAAAAATAAGAGAAATATTATGTTTCAATAATCTGACTCATTTTTCAGAATTAGGTTTTATTTGGTCAATTTATAGTTTAAATTGCGAACCAATTGATATTTGTTTTAATTATAAACTCTACGTAAAAACACAAGACATTACAAAATTGTGTTTATTAAAAGAAAAGAGCCTTGCTTCCATCATAAAGAATGAGATAAATGTATGTTAAGATGATCCAAACTCATTTATTTTACACCGCTAATCAGGGAAATAAAACTAAAAACAAAACGATTTGGATAAATATTCACTGTGTTTTTTTCAACGCTTCTCCAAATGATTTAAAACAGAGATCATATCAAACTGTATTGATATATGATTTAATATGTCTGTCATAATTAAATCCAGAGTTCTTATGAAGATTTCAAGAACAAACTTCAAGAGCAAAAATATTGTATCAAGATATTTGTGCAGTTTTTAAATATTATTATCCAAAATAGGTTTATTTGTATTTAGCTTTAACCAATTCATTATTTTTAGCCAGAACATTTATGATAATTTACCATAACATAAATTATCACTTTTTTTCTAAATAAAACACCCCTCAGAGCACTTAAAATAAAAGCTATTATTTCTTTCTGTGAGACCCCCAAACCAAATTATTCAACCTGACATGTTGCACTCATATTTAAAACCCTAATTAAAAAATTATCAAAGCAAATAATAGTTTGTAGATTTAACCAATGCGACAGTAAAGCAAAAGATAAATCTGAAAAATACATACCTGCACTTATTAATGCAAATTTGCTTATTTCTGACTGTTTATGCAAATAAAAAGCAGTCATAGTTTTCAAAGAACTGTTTATTATATGAAAATGATGACGGAACAGATTATTATTGTGTTTTAACTCATTAAAGACGGAACACAACAAAAACTGCCACATGAACTCAAAATCATTTGCATTTAGTCATGATAAAAACAAACAAACAAATACTGAAAGTTTGGGATTGTTAAAGGATGCAGGTCAGACTTACTGATGCTCAAACATCAAACCAAACAGGATCCGCTTAAACCCATTTTCTCCTTGTTGACAGATTTTAAGTAAACAAAACAACCTTTTATAAGTTTGTTCCAGCTGACAGCATCATGCTACCAGAACTTTAATCCGGACAGCACCCTCGCAGCCTCCTGCCGCTTGTCTCCAGGACAGTACTTGCGTGTGTGCGCTCTGTCCCCGGTGGCCTTACAGTTGGGACAGGTGTACTTCCGGAGGACGGGGCAGAGCACCTTCCCGTCGTCAGATTTGAGCTTGTGGGACCGGTACACCTTAGGAGACTCTCCGTTCTGCTTGCAGAAACTGCAGCTGCTTGCAGAAGCCCCGTTGTTGCTACTGCTGTTGCTGCTGCTGCTGGAACTAGTCTCTGCGGAGATGCTGGAAGTCCTGCGCCTGGATGGGGTCTGGAGGTGTCGCCAATGGGGGTCCTTCTCGGGCTCCTCTGGAGCCACCTCCCTCTGGTCGCGCTTCTCCAGAAGGCTGCTCAGGTTCATGTAATCATGCCACATGTCGAAGCAGTCGCCACCGTGCAGGAACGAGCTCTGGACGTCCACCCCACCTTGCATCTTTATGGAACAAAAATGTGCAATGGTTTGCGTTAGAGAGCATCGTTGCATATTTATGGGCGCCAGTAAGTCGTTTTAAATTGCAACAATGTTGATGTCTTGCAGGTGTTTGGGTTGTGCAGGGTAATGGCTTTGTTTGAACACTTAAGGGCAGTTGCATTTATTTAGGTAAAAAAAATGTTAAAACACGTGCAAAGGTAAATATTTTTCACAATGTAGGCCTACTACAATCTGTGGAATGTTGTTATTGTTATTTCCTGAAGCCCCAATCAACAAAATATAAACAATGACTTTACTACAGAGTAGTCCGTGGATTAAGATGTTTATGATCTTTATTTTTGAATACTTGTGCAAAAATTTGATTATTAAAAATTATAAATGAACGCATATTTTATCTTTTTCCAAACTTTAAAAAGGTGCACCTGTTTTGCTCTGGTGCACGCTTTTCGATATTTGCGCCTGTGACACATTTAGATGTTAATATTTAGATTTTGTAATTGCATGTGTTGCCTAAGTTTGTAAATGTAGTTTAAGGACAAATCACAAAAGCAAAACATGAAAACAACAATAATAAGTGATGGTGAAAATTTCTTGCATACACTGTGATCAGTGTGTGTGCATGTGTGTGTTCCTGTGTGTTTATGTGCATGTGTGGCTACCTTGCCGACCCACCGTTAACCCCTTAATGATCCTTGGCGCCTCAGTGTCTCATCTAAAACACTTCAAAATAAACACCTGCACCGTTTGAAAAATGTTCAGTAAAACTGACAGAACGCATCGCTCTTTGAAGTTAAAACAAATCTGTCAACCCCTAATTGTGAGTGGGATGACTCTTTTGGCTTCTGAACCTTAACACGTTCAACTTTTGACCTACACTTTCACTTTTGAAGACGTTTTCACCCTTTTAATCAATGGAAGCGTCATATTTACAAAACAAAAGCCTCGTGTGGGCGTGGCCACAGAAGCGTACGAGGACTCCTCGTACGTGCCTCGAGGCGCATGCGTAGTTATTTACCGGTGACGGCTGTACAAACGGTGGCCTAACGAACAAGGGGATTACGAGCACAACCCGATAGGTAAAATAAGTAAAACATTTACACTTTTTTATTTATTATGTTTAGAAAGCCTTTACATTGACAAGATGTTTTACCATTTTTGCCAGAGACATCTGGGAAACGCCAGACTGTCCGCAGTGCTAAGCTTGGTCTCGACCTAAGCTAACATCCAGCTAGCCACTAGCTTACGGAGTTGAGTAGGAGGCTAATACCCGCTGTGATATAAGCAGCCTGACCCTGTCTGTACGTTGCTGTAGTACTACCTTGTGTTTTTAGTAGTGTCAGTTGACTTCGACAGGTTTTCTTCACCAAAATTGACATGTTTGGTTTCCTGCAGCCCACGCAGTAAATTCAGAGAATGCTAACCTGCTAGCAAGGTCTCTTAATACTTTAGCTGAAGCAATGTTTGTTTAGAGGAATGATCTACTCATTGACTGTGAAAGAGACTGCTGAAGTAGCAGTGTGATCCACCCAACCTTTTGCTATGACTGTCAGAGGATACTGGGCGACGTTTAATTCATGAAGGATGCTAAAACCAAGATTAGGATCTGCTCTGATCCAGCTATGCTAAAACAATGGCTCCTAATCCTAGTCAAGTCTGTGTCGATCATAGGTATTTCTGTGCTCTCAGGCATCACTATGAGTCAAAGTAAGGACAATGCACGACTCAAGAGCTACAAAAACAAGTCTCTTAACACAGATGAGATGAGGAGGAGGAGGGAAGAGGAAGGCCTGCAACTTAGGAAACAGAAGAAGGATGAACAAGTAAGTCAATGGTTAATGTGACCGTAAATGAATACAATGTCAGAATTTGCAACCAAATAAGCATCTTGTTCTTTTATAGCTTTTTAAAAGGAGGAATGTTGCCACTGTGGAGGATGAGGGCACCCTTGAGGATGATGGAATGGCTGATAGTGGCTATCTGGAATCTCAGGCTAACAACCTGGACCCACTAATGGTGGGAAAATATTCCTTCTTTTTCTGCAATCAACTCTTTTTATTTATATATTTATTTTACTACCGTTTAAAATCACATGTCAAATAAATTCTTATTTTGTCACCTCACAGGGTGGGGTGATCTCTGATGACATGATTCAGATGATCTTCTCCAGCTCTCCGGAGCAGCAGTTGATAGGCACTCAGCGCTTTAGGAAGCTTCTTTCAAAAGGTTGGCTTTTTTTTCCCTTTTTTTAAATGTGTGCATTTTAAACCATGCACCCTGTTTCAAAACATCATGATTTACTACCTGAGTTGAAACATTTAGTGGTTACATTCCTACAAATGTTTTTCTTGCGCAGAACCCAACCCACCCATCGACGAAGTTATTGCCACTCCGGGGGTGGTCGAGTGTTTTGTTGAGTTTCTGAAGAGGAGAGAAAATTGCACATTGCAGGTTTATTTCCCAAAGTTAAATAAAATTTCCTCCTCGTGTTGGACCGCATCCTCTCTCTGCCTTGTATGGTGTCTCTAATTCTGCTCATGGTTTAATACATTTAAGCCTTTTTTGTAATTATCTTTGTAGTTTGAGGCAGCTTGGGTGCTGACCAACATTGCTTCAGGGACATCCCACCAGACGCGGGTTGTGATCCAGGCTGGAGCTGTGCCCATCTTCATAGAGATGCTGAGCTCAGATTTTGAAGACGTTCAGGAACAGGTTGGTCGAGTTTTCAGGCTTATTTCTGCATCAACAACCTTATATCTGTTAACTTTTTTTTAACAAAAACATGCAAGAACTGGCCTGTGATGTTCTTGTTATACAAAATCATACATTCATGTAGTGCTTGTTGTCTAAAATGAATAGTTGTTTCACTCCTCAGGCAGTGTGGGCATTGGGTAACATAGCAGGTGACAGCACAGAATGCAGAAACTTTGTCATCAACTGCAACATCCTGCCTTCCCTGCTGCAGTACGTCATTGATCTCTTTGTATAATTTTAGAAAATAAAAATGGAAAAAACAGCATCTTTAGGAATTTTTGCTTTGTTAAATCCCGCTTTTAGGTTATTGGCCAAACAGAATCGCCTAACGATGATGAGGAACGCCGTGTGGGCGCTCTCAAACCTGTGTAGAGGAAAGAACCCACCCCCAGACTTTGCTAAGGTAATTTGCCAAGATATACTATTGCTATGGCAACTGCACATCAGAGCACATTTCAAGGTCACAGGCAGGATGGTCTTCTAATTGAATCCAAAAGCAAATTTCCTCTTAAATCTCCTCATGTTCTCCTCCTTGCCCCGTCCAGGTGTCCCCATGTCTCTGTGTGCTGTCCTGGCTGCTGTTTGTTAACGACACAGACATCTTGGCTGATGCATGCTGGGCACTGTCCTACCTATCTGATGGCCCTAATGACAAAATCCAGGCTGTTATTGACTCAGGAGTCTGTCGGAGGCTAGTGGAGTTGTTGATGTAAGAATTGAAACTTTTTTATTCTGCAGCGTGTTGTAGAAGCGTGTGTCCAGTCCCAGATTCTTTCATATGATCCACACATCTCCTTCCCTTTAGGCACTCTGATTATAAAGTGGTGTCTCCAGCTCTGCGGGCTGTTGGGAACATCGTCACTGGCGATGATCTGCAGACACAAGTAATGACATCATCAACACAAACTGTTAAATAAACATGAATGTTCTGATTTGAATCTGATTTTTATTTATCCTTTCAGGTGATCCTGAACTGTTCAGCTCTGCAGTCCCTACTTTACCTCCTGAGCAGCCCAAAGGAGTCTATCAAGAAGGAAGCTTGTTGGACCATTTCCAACATCACCGCAGGGAATCGAGCACAAATACAGGTTACTCTACACAGTTTTCTTTCTTTTTTTTTTTTTTTTTTTTTTTTACTTCTTCATCCCGTAGAACAGGGATGTCAAAGTCAAATACACAGAGGGCCAAAAATACAAATTGGCTATAAGCCGAGGGCCGGACTGGCTCAATGTCTATTAAAACATATTGAAATGATTGCACGTAGCCTATTGAACCAAGACCTAACACAGTGTATTATTTAATGATTAAATCAATAATGGGGAAAGCATTTTTCAGCAGGCACACAGACAAGAACAAACTGCCTTCAAAGAAAAATCACGTCCTGTACATTAAATGAATAAAGTAATATTTTCTTATGGCTCTGTCAGTAAGCTAAAAAGAAAACATTTTCAACAGGCAAACAGCAAAAAAGCAATTTTCCTTCAAAAACAAAACATGTTCCTTACATCAAGATAAATGCATAAATGAAACTGCATGCATTATAAACTGAAAATGCAATATTGTGCTGCTCTATTATCCTACCAATTACTGCTTCAAATAGTAAAATGAAAAAATGTAGAATAAATCAAATTCTTTCTCATGGCTCTTATCTGCAATTTCCCCTGAGTCCATTAACTAAAATAAATATAGATAAATAAAATACAGTACAATAAAATGCAAAAATATATGGCACACTGACAAAACAATACTTCCTTCAAAGAAAAATCATGTCTTGTAGAAACAAATGTAAAATTTTAACCGAATTAAAAACTAAAGATACGTTAATGCTCTGTGATGCTCACTTCTCTGAGCCTGATACTTGATGGTGTCTCATCTTTTGTACAAGCTCATCAATGTTCGGGGTAAGGCTCTGAGCTGAGGAAATCCTCAAGATTGAGTGAAGGTGCTGATCAGTGAGACGGTTCCTGTGTGGTGTTTTGTTTAGCTTCATCAAAGAGAACAGTTGTTCGCACAGGTATGTGCTGCCAAACATAGAGAGCGTCTGAGCAGCTTGGATGCGCAGCTCGGCCATTGTGTCGGGAATGAAACGTGCAAACTCAGCAGCACCCACTCGCTCATACTTTTCCTTCAGTGTGTCATTGCACTGAAGCTCAATCAACTCCATTTGTAGGTTTGGTGGTGCGCTTTCCACGTCAACTGCAAAAGGATTGCTGAGCAGTTGAAACTTGCATTTTTGGGCTTCAAACTCAGCAAATCGGCGTCGGAAGTCGGCGGCAAGTATGTTGAGTTTGTCAGCAAACTGCACTCGGGAACACAGCGGTAGAGAGCTTCTCTTTCATGGTCTCGCAGCTGGGAAAGTGGCTCAAGTTTTCTTTCCGGATCTGCATCTCCCACAGACTCGGCTTGGTTTTGAATGCCTGCACTGTACTGTACATATCAGAGATGACACGCCCCCGTCCCTGCAGCTGCAGGTTCATCACATTCAGATGGCTCGTGATGTCGCACAGAAATGCCATTTCACACAGAAAATTTTCATCTCGGACCTCTGTTGTGTCTTTCCCTTTGCTTTCAATGAACAGACCGATCTCCTCACGCAGCTCGAAAAATCTTTGCAGCACCTTTCCCTGGCTTAGCCATCGCACCTCTGTGTGATGGGCAAGTCACCATACTCTGTATCTAACTCGCCCAGAAATGCCTTGAACTGGCCGTGATTTAAACCTCTTGCTCTGATGAAGTTAACCGCCCGCGTTATGGTGCTCATTACATGTTCCATTTTCAAGGCTTTGCCACACAACGACTCCGGGTGTATTATGCAGTGATGAGCTGTCAGCTCACCTGTGGCGTTTTGCTCCTGCATCCTCTCACGCATCCTTGCCACCAATCCACTCGTGTGCCCACACATCGCGGGTCTGTCGTCAATCCCACGAGTTTTTCCCAAGGCATTTGCACATCTGGATACCTCTTCATACAGATCTTGTCCTGTAGTTGTGCCATGCCTAGGACGTAATGCCAAAAGCTCTTCTGTTATGCTCAGGCTGGAGTCCAGTCCATGAATAAAAATTGACAGCTGGGCAACGTCAGATGTGTCGGTGCTCTCATCCACAGCAAGGGAATATGCAATGAAATCTTTTCCCTTTCTAACAAGCTGTTCCTTTAGATCGGTGGAAAGCTGGTCTACACGTTCAGCCACAGTGTTTCTGCTCAGGCTCACGTTTGAAAATAGTTGCCTTTTGTCTGGGCACACTGCGTTACAAACTTTAAGCATACAGGTTTTGATCAACTCTCCCTCTGTAAATGGCCGAGCGGATTTTGCGACCTCTTCTGCCACAATTAAACTCGCCCTGACGGCAGCTTCGCTTTGTGATTTTGCTTTTGTGAACAGAGCCTGCTGGGACTTAAGACCTCGTTTTAATTCTTCCACCTTCTGTAGCCTTTGTTCCGTGTCCATATTCTTGTCTTTGTCTGTGTGTTTCTTAGACGTTTCATGGTGCCTTCTTAGATTATATTCTTTCATTACAGCCAAACTTTCACCACACAGAAGACACACAGGTTTGCCATTTACCTCAGTGAACATGTACTCTGCCTCCCACCTAGCTTGAAACCCCCTTTTCTCAGCATCCACCTTCCGTTTAGCCATTTTTGGGGGAGGAGGTAGCTGAAAGTCGACGTCTGCCGAATCCGGCCCGCGGGCCTTGACTCTGACATATGTGCCGTAGAAGCTTAAAATGCGTGCCGATATTTAAAAAGTTGTTTCCTTTTCCACAGATGGTGATGGATGCAGGTCTGCTGCCTCCTCTCATCAGCATCCTGCAAGTAGCAGAGTTTCGCACAAGGAAGGAGGCGGCGTGGGCCATTACCAACGCCACTTCAGGAGGCTCTGCAGAGCAGATCCGGTACAACCCCAGTGCAGTTTTAGTTACTGTATTTGGCTTAATCATTTATGATTGAAGGTTCCAGGAGAAATCCTGAAAATGTGTTTATTAGCAACACCTTGATATTCACACTTTAGATCTCTACTATTACTAAAAACCCAGAAACAGTTGCATCATCTAAGCATGTTTGGTTTATTGACGCGAATGTAATCATTGCAAATCCAGAGAAGTTTGTTTCTCTTAGATAAGCAACAAACTTCTGAATCTGTGTGTTTGCTGCCACCTGCAGGCATCTGGTGGAACTGGGCTGTATAAAACCTCTGTGTGACCTGCTCACGCTCATGGACTCCAAGATTGTCCAGGTGGCTCTGAATGGGCTGGAGAACATCCTGCGACTGGGAGAGCTGGAGGCCAAAAGGGGAGGGGGAGGCATCAACCCTTACTGTGCGCTGATCGAAGAGGCTTATGGTGAGAACACACACCTGATGCTTCTCTCTCCAGAACTTTTCTTGTTTGTCGCTTTGATGCAGTTTATAATAATCAGTGCCCTTTTTTTTTTTTTTTTAGCAAATATTTGTAGTACAAAACTTTTGAGAATCATTCATCCATTAATGTGATGCACACACCAACTTATCTATTTATAGATTTATTACCACAATAATATGAGAATATCATCCAAAAGCTGATGTGACATTTTTTTTCTTATTTAACTGACTCATTTAAAAATAATCCTTCAAATTCCAGAAGCTAAAGCCGGAGTGTTCTTCTGATTTTGTGGCTGAAATGACTTAATTTCCTGTGCCAGGTCTGGACAAGCTGGAGTTCCTGCAGAGTCACGACAACCAGGAGATCTATCAGAAGGCCTTCGACCTGATCGAGCGCTACTTCAACACCGATGACGAGGACCCGTCTCTGGCACCGGCTGTGGACCTGCAGCAGCAGCAGTTCCTCTTCCAGCAGCGCGAGGCTCCCATGGAGGGCTTCCAGCTATAATGCTAAACCCCGCCTCCTCCCATCATGCTCCAGCTGCATCCTCACCTCACGCCTCTCAGCCTCAGTCCTGCAGCCAAGAACCGGGGTGACGGTAGCCCCCCCCCCCCCCCCCCCTCTCCTCTTCCAGCCTGAGAGGCAGACATAATCGTTACCATGGTTATAAGATGATGTACCATTACAGAAGCACACGTCTGAGCGTGCGTCCAACATGGGTCCGTTTCTGCAGTCCTGTCAGCCAGTTTGTGAAGGTTCTATTAGTCATTCTTTTGTGCTGACTTCCTTATAGTCCGAGTCCTTCCTCGTCACGTCATCTCAATCTTTTTGGATTTTCTCCTCTGATCATCTAAACAAGAACCTCCCCTCTACTTGCTCGCGTCTCAGCAGGTGGGACGACACGGCTCGCCCTGAAGCATTAACGACCGGACGAACCCACGGCGAATGATCCAACCTAAACACTGGACTGACTTTGAAACACTGACCACGTGTTTGTGTCACAGGACTCAACAAACTTCTACGAAAGGCACTTAACTCTCGAAAGGAGGTCGGACTTCCTTACCTCCTCCTAGAACCACAGATCGACTGATTTAAAAATGGCGACTTTGTTGCTGTGAGGTGGTTGCATTCCCGCCTGGATCTCATATCATTCCTCTAACCAGTATTTGGGACTTTTCCTCCGACACTGGCTCCATCCTCTAAAGACTGCCTCCTTTGATGTGACGTAAACAAACCCATGGAACCATGGGAACTGGAGTCTTCCTTTGCACTGAGACAATTTGGACGGACTTGGACGAGACGAGAAAAACAAAAACAGACGATATAAATATATATAAAAACTCTAGATTCTGTCCAGCAGCTAACCAGCAGGATTTTTATTATTTTTTATTTGAATTATTCTATCATTTCATTTTCCGCACTTTAGTTTTGGACTGATGCGTGTTCATTGACAGCTGTTTCTGCTTTTGCTGTTTAATTGCTTGATGACACAGCTCTTCCTTCTCAGGAAGACGTGGGGGGGAGGGGGGGTCTTGTCCTCGTCCCCCTCCTGTGAGGAAATAAGGACATTGTTCAGCCTTCCCTCTAAGGGGATGGATTGGACTGAAACAGTCAGAAAGCATCTGACACAATCAGAGGATCACGTTGCCTCAGAAAAAAAAATCATTACAAATAAGTATTTAGTCAATTGGCTTTTTCAGCTATAAGGAGTCTAAAATGAGGCATAAGTTCAGGTACAGTATTTAAATCTGATCATGCCTAATCAGCACATTTATCAGCTTTTAGGCCAGAGATTGGTTGTTCAGTTTTTTCCTATAAAGAGTAATTTTTATTTGGAAATTGACGTCTTTAGCTGATGGTGCCATAATCTTTATTGATGATTGGAAACTCTTCCACAGTTTCAGCAAAGATCGTGAAAGTTCTGGTGATCAGCTTAGCTAGCACAAATTAATGTTTGTTTACCAAGTCTTTGATCAGATTTCTTACTTTTGATTGTCAGCCAGAGATGACCAGCTCTACGTGTTCATTACTGTTTGTTGTGTCGGGTTTGTGCATCAAGTTATGCCATTTGCATAAAAGTTGTTTCATAAACGGATCAAAGTGACAAATGAATTAGATCATTTTTGCCACATCATCACACATTAATGATGTAAGGTTAAAGGTGTGGGGCCCTGGCAGCACATTTTTTAAAATGATTATTCCTGATTGCAATTTTCATGCAGGCTGAACATGAAAACAGTCTCCTCCACCTATCTCTTGCATTAGCTTCTGATAGAAAATGGAGGGTGAAACTCTAGGATTTGAAAATCCTCAACATTGCAAGTCAGTGGTAGAGTCATGTTGCCGTTATCCGATCCGAGATGTCCAAATATCAGGAAACAAGACTCCAAAACCTTACTTCTGATGCTCATCTGTGATGTGGCTCACTTCTAGTTCCTGGAAATGGTGCACCGGTATTCCCGCCCCCAGTACGACTTCCAAGGTACCTACTAGAGACCACTGCAATTGCATTGGTTAAACAAGTTTCCCACACCTTTAAATTGTTTAAAAGGGCACGATAATCACATTTGAGATTAGAATATAATAGGGTTCCCTTTTAGCCCAGAACAAGACTTCCTGTTCACACAGCTCCTCTTTGGAGCCTTTTTGTACAAAAAAAGATAATTTAGCTAAAATCAAAGGACTCATCTCGAGAAGCATTACTTTATTTAACAGTTTCCTGTTTTTGTCGCGCTCTACAAACACAAATGCCCCAATTGCTTTAAGCACACTATTAGTAAATGAACAAGATAACATTTGATGTAAGGACCTAATTTATCTAAAAACTCAAATGTCCTCAAGGGTACAAATTACAAGACTTGCTGATTAGAGTTATCCAATCAGAAACCGAATTTCTTCCATCACAGCGCTGCTTAAGTCAACACCACCCGCTGCATTTACATCCGTTACATTTACTGGAGGAGTCCTGTCTCCTAGGTTTGTGTGTTTATTCTACTCCTGCAGGATTGGAGCAGTGATGCGTACAGCAGGAAGGGAGACGCTTTATTCCAGATGTTTGTGAGGAAGCATCACGACTGCTGAGTGGGTCGTCCTCCATCACTGGGTCTTTGGCGCGTTGTCTTTCTCCATTTCCTCCCTCCATTTAGCTTTCTTCTCCATGTTGTAATACGTCAGGGACTCGTTTCTGCTTGCAGCCTGCAAAAGGAAAATTAATGAGCATTTGCTAAATATTTTAATCTTATTTGCGATTTTCTAAAATGTTTCAAAGCATTTTAACAAACAGCACATGAGAACCTTTTGCTACTGTGAGGTGAGTAAGACGAAGCTACAGGTGCAGTCAGGTTCGAATCCTGTTCTTCCACTTTTTGGTTTCCTTATTTCCTGTGGGCGGCCACTGGGGAAACGTTGCGTGCATAAAATAAAGTTCTGCACAGTCACCGTTACTCACCTTTTTGCCCAGAATTACCATGACCACACAGGCGCCTATCGTCAATCCCATCATCACGTAGGCAGCTTTCACTCTGATTTTGTTCCTGGCAGCGTCGATCATCTCAAATCTTTGAAAAAGGACAGGATTATCTAAATTAAAGAAAAATTTTACATTTTAAAACCTAACTTTTGTTGATTTGTTCTCTACATGTGTTCCTTTATAAATACCAGTCTTATATTTGCAATCAGAACAAGGAAGTTCTGACAATTCCATTCATCCCGAATCCCATGAGTGTGACAGGTGGGAGGATTTTACAGTTTCTAAGCATAAGGTGCAGATGGTATTGCCACCCTGATGTCAGGAGCCATTGCGATTCTCTCCAGCTGCAGACACCTTGTTTGAACTGCAGCTAAGAGGACCAGCTGTGCCATCGCTCCTTCAGTTAATCTGCTCTGTTCCTCTGATGTGATGAAAATCAGACCAGTGGTGTGCTGGGAGGTCTGGCATAAACAGGAAGAGACTACTTACGACACAATCTCTGGTATCTGCTCCAAGGATTTGAAGCGGCCCGACCAGACCAACATCTTCTTGTCCAAATTAGAGGGTTTGTAGCCTGGGACTTTAAATAAGGGACGAGGTTCTGTATGAAAGAACAATAATAATAATAATAATAAAATCATGTTGTTTCATCCACTTCCCCTGAGCAAATCAGTCATTTCCTAGATCATACTGAGCTGTCAGCACACTTCCTGTGTCCCTCGGCTCCAAAAACAAACATAATTGTTGAAAACAATAAACATCCTGTAAATGGGATCAGATGTGCAGCAAGTTTCTGCACTTTGTGCGAAAGGCTCAGCTAATGATTGTGTTGTGTTGTGGGGTGAAGACAATAAAATAAAAAACAATCTGTACGTGACCCAAAACTCCACCTTGTGCTGAAGCTGCAGGTGACGACTCTGCTTTGGTCTCTTGTAGTTTATTACACATCCCTCTAAATCTTTGACCTGTGTGGATGTTAAATAAAGCAAAGAGAATCACAGATTACTCATCAAACAACTATTTTTATTATCTGCAATTTGCCAAGTCCACATGTACTCTAATAAAAAATGAAACGATCACATATATTAGGAGTAGAGCAGTGAATCAGCTTATATAATTTTGGTATTTTGGCATTAACTTCATCTACAGTCGAGTATATTCCTTGGAAAATTATGTTTAAATGAAAATAAATGACGTAACACTGGATCAAAGTGTTGTATGTCGATGGTTGTCACGAGCCGATTTAATTCTGAAGTAAAATCTCATCACACTTATTACAATCTAATAAATACAACTTCAACCATCATAACAAGCGTGGAGCTACATTTCGGCCAAAGTATTGTCATTTCAGAACACTCAGCATAACCAATAAAATAGCATTAGTTGAAAACGTATGTTATAGCTACTAGTTTTGGCTCATTTAACCACAAAAACCATTAGCAGGAGGCTATTATTTATAACTGTATAAAATAGAACATAAACGTAGCTATACGAACCAATAAAGTTGTTACTGGAAAGTCGTGATCTCATGAAATTCATGTTGGAATCGATAATTAAGTCTGTGAAGTCCCAAAGTGCCTCGTTAACTCCAGTAGTCGGAACCTCCAGTCCCCTTCAGCCACTGAAAGTCATGGCAGACCAAAACATGGTCCCATTACGTAAGGTTAGGCGTCTATTATACGCCTGAGCAAAAATCAATAGGCCCTGATTTTGAGGTTTAACAGTAAACTCCATAGCGTTATGTATGTTTTTTTTAAATATAATATTAAATACTGTGCATTCAAACAGACGTTGTCTTAACACAAAAATGCAATATTTTAGAAACAAAATCACCGTAACATGTCATTGTAACACAATGCTATAGGTAATTCATCGGGCTGTATGTTTGTTTAAATTTTAAATTACATAAAATCAAATATAAGCACAGCTATTTGGTGGTTTCCGTTCAGGCACTAACTTGAACAGTGCCTCCTGTCTGATTCTGTGGAGGACCCCTGTAGTTAACTATGGCGGCGCCCGGTAAAACTTTAGTCTGTGATGATTATTCTTTATTTCAGGTAATGTCTACCAAACGTTCCTTAATTTTGACAGATTTTTCTAAAACAGTGACATCGATCTGAATCATCGGGTGTCAGAGCGCGATGTGCTCACTGCTGTATTTTGTCAGTAAGGTGACGCTCCTGATCTCAGCCTGGATTACAGAACTGACAACTGGCAGCATGTTCAAGATTTACAAAGGAACTCACGTCGGCTCACTCCTTTCTGCTTTAGTTCTGTTATATTTTAGTATACCTTTATTCAGGTAAATTAGAGTGGGGTAGTCGAGCAGGGTTACCATTATTTAGGATTTGGAGTGACTTTATTTATTAGTTAAACACATAAATGTTAAATTAATTGCTATGAAAAATAGTCTGTCAGAATATAACCTCCACCTTAAATGTAAAGGTTTGATTAGAATCTGCATAAGCTGCTTGATCATTCATATATTATTTATTTCAGAGGCCCTAACAAAAATAATTATTAGATTATGTAATTATTTTTGCCCAATTCTTTTGAAAGTCTTTTGTTTCAATGTTTAAAAAAATGAAATACAAAATCAAATTAGAAAATCAGACATACAATTTAAATGATTTGGCTGTAAGTGAAAAATAACACAATCAAATACTTTCTATTGATCAATTTTATCCAACAGGGTGGCTTACTAAAGCAGCTCAGATACACATGGGTGATGTGTCTATTGTTAACAATTAGAACTGTATTTAAACAAACTCAAATAACCAAACAGGCCTAATCTAACATTTACAAACCAAATTGTAAAGCTTTTGAAATATCGTTTAAATTCTTTATTATTACATTTAATGCTTATTAGATCGTCATCGCAACACAACAGCTGTTTTAGAAGAACATGATACTCTTTTTTATTTAATCAGATTTCTTAAAGCTGAAGGTATAGATTTTACAGCTGCCTTTATGGGAGCAATTCAAATAAACTCAGTATAATATATAATGTTGCTCTTATCATTCATTTGTTGAGCTTTGTGGACCAAATTCTGCTTTTTTTCCTTAATAGCATGTATTGTTTTCTATTGTTAGCATAAAAAAAACTAACAAAGACAGTCAAAGAGCCTAAATCACATTGAACCAGAAACTTAATCACTAGAAACCTTTAACAACAGACACATAGGGGTACTAAACTGAAATTGATATTTTTACATGAAAGTTTTCAAAGAACTTAGTTTTATAATAATATCTATTGTTACGTCACTACAGATTTAATTCTTTCAGGCTGACATCAAATTTAAGTCCACAGCTTCCTCTACTGGTTGTGTTACTCTGAAATAACCAGAAACAAGAGTTGTCTCTTTGTTTAATAACTGATGTTTTATATCATTATTATTTATTAAAACAGGAGTTCATGCCCTTGAAATTAAATGATCATCATTATTCATAGGAGTTACTAACTTTGTTTTTCAGGAGATGCTGAAGGCGATGCGGGTCATGGACGACCGCATCGTCCATGCCCTGAACACGACTGTACCCACGGCTTCATTCTCAGGAAAAGTAGACGCCGTGCAAACATGTAAACAGCTCTATGAGTCCGTGAGTGTCAGAAAAGTCTGGTTTCAACGTCTCCTGGGATTTTTCTTTACCCAGTTGTAACTTTGACCCCACGTCCTTGTTCTCCCCAGTTGATGGAGGCCCATCAGAACAGAGACAGAGCCATCAAAGCTTGTATAGCTGAGAAGTCTGAGCTGGTGGGACAGCTGCGAGAGGAACGAGCAAAAGATGGAGACAATCTGGAAGTAATCAAGCAGCTCAGGAAGGAGCAGACCAATGTAAGCACTGAGGAAAGAGCTGTGTTGATTATTTTGTTGTTTATCTGTCAAATATGTAGCAACAACAACAGCTACTGATCTGGCAGCCAGTGAATGCTTTCTTTAAGCAACGTCTGAAATTATTGTTGTAATTTTTATCTCTCTGAAATCTAAATTTAATATTTAAAATGTCATTTATGAGTATGATGCTAAATGTGTGATGACTAATCTGCACCACCGGGGGAGCAGCTCTCCATTTTGATTGTAAGCCAGGCTTCATGACAAAGGTTTTATTTTAAATAAAGAATTTATTTATGACACATTTAGAGGAAAATATGAATTTGTTCCATGTTAAATTTTTGTCTTATCAGAGTTTTTAAACATAAGTTTTACTGATCAGAAATCTTCAGAAAGCAACAAAACATTTCTTAATGTGAAAATTTATCTTGTTTGTTTGCTTCTCCAGCTAAAGCTAATGCAGTCAGAGCTGAATGTGGAGGAAGTTGTCAATGATAGAAGTCTGAAGGTACTTTAAACCCAATTTCATAATATCCTTTAATAATAAATCCAGCTTCTTCATCACTTACGAATATTATCCCGTTCAGGTTTTCTTCGAAAGGTGCAGAATCCACTACATGCCTCCGAGGGTGAAGCGAAGCTCCGTTTGATGAAAAGAGCTGCTTCTCCTGACGTTGAAATCCCAACCGGAGCTGTGAGGTTCTGCAGAATCCTGACTGCAGGCTGCTGAGCATTCAGACATCTCAGATCTCCTCTCCACCTCAATCATTCTGTGATCATAACTAAACATCGCAGTGAAAGTGTCAGCTGCGTGCTTCCGTACAGAACATTATTGTACAGAGTTTTGTTTTTTAAAGACAATGAACTATTTTCCAGTGACCTCTGTTGTCTGTGTTTTACTTTTGATTCACTGGTTCTTCCTGCATGTAGGAAGCAGAAGACTTTCTCTGTTTCTGCAGCACGCAGCTGCAGACGGGTTTGTAATAAAACCCTGAAAACTGACTAAAACCAAAAAGAAGTTCTATATTCAGCTGTAGCCACATCAGTATGATGTAGGCAGCATCTTCACCTGGTGCAGTGGCGGTGCCAGGGGGTGCTAGGGGCGCTATAGCTACCCCTGGATTAGTCATTGCACCCCCAAGTAAATATTAGATTTATTTTTTTAGTTAACGTGTGGATGTGATAATATTTAACATACAAAATAAAAATGACCAGTAAATTATTATATAGATAGTAAAAATCTAAATAAAAACAGGAAATTGATGTTAACCTTTGACCTCATTTTCCACCTGTGAACGAGTGAAAGGTAGAGCTAGTGGTAAAATGGATCGGTTTTTGTTGCCCACATTTCCAAGGTTCAGTCAGAAACCAATGAATCTTTGGAAGTGATCGCAGACCCACAAAAACCTACGGATCTGGAGGAAGTGAGTCAACCCTCAACTGCTGCAGCAGTCCAGGGTTTTGGTGCTTGAAATGCTAACGCTAATGTTAGCTAACCTTGCAACACTATAGGTGGTTTTCTGTGTGGCTGTATGTGTTTATGATTTCATGGAAAAGTCAGCGATTGTTCATAAGTTTATGATGTATATTAATGATTGTTTCAGGTGTTGTTGAGGTGTTGTGCACGCATGTGTATCTGTTAGTGTTGAAGGTGTTTTAGAGAACAATAAGTACGCATGACCACTTCCTTCATAGCACCCTCAATAAAAAGACTAGCTCCTTCATAGCACCTGCAGAAAAACATTTCTGGAGCCGCCACTGACCGAGTGTCTGCGGTCTTTGTCTTTAAAACCACCCAAAAATATTTGTACATCTCAGAACTTTAACACAGTTTAGTTGCAATATTTTAATTGTAAAGAATGGACAGAAGCCAGCTCAGCTGTAGACAGGTGTGAACAATGCTGAACATTTTCTCACATCACTGAGAAAACAGATCTCTAGTTTTTGACAGAATAGGTTAAATTAAGCCTCATCAGAAGGTTTTGTAGCATAAATGTCTTGTTAAAGGTCACAGGTAAAATATTCTCCTTTAGGATTTGATGTTAAAGAGCAGAATTAATGGTTCCATCAATTACATCAAGTAGTCCTCAAGCAGTCCCAAACAATCATACTACCACTGCCATCTCTTGCTGCCGGTGTGATGTTTTGAATTGCAGTTTTTGTTTTACACCAGATGTAACGGGACACCCACCTTCCAGAAAGTTCCTCTTTTGTTTTGTTAGTCAATAAAATAGTTTCCCCAAAGTTTTGGCACTGATTTAAAACTTGTTTTGTATTTATGTCAGAAACCGAAACAAAGAAAGAAGACAACAACCGTCATGCTTATTGATGTCTTTTATTACATTTTGATATTTCTATTAAAATCTGCTCCAATGCTTAAAATGCCTCACACGGATCATGGCAGTTTTGTAAATTAATCATTTCTTTTTCTCATAACAGAACAGGACATTTTGCAGTGAAGCATTCAGCTGGATGAAGCTCAGGCAGCTGGTTTTTCACTTTGGCTTCAAACTCAGCTGGGTTAACAGGATCACCTTGCTTGTAGCCATCCTGAACAGACAAAAGTCTGAAATCAACTGGGTTCTCTGAGAGGAGGCTTCGGACAAACAACAACGAAAGGTAAGCATCTGGCCTGTACTGAACCTGCAAAAGAAAGATAAATACACGTCTGTTCATTGCTACTTTTCTAAAAGGCTTCACTAACACCAGATCAGTGATTTAGTTCACAGACACATCTGAATATTTGATCTTAAATGCTGAAGAACAAAGTGCAGTAATATAAAATCAGCGCTTATTACCTTAACCGCATACTTTGTGCCAGAGGGCAGAATCTTTTTATGGCATTAAACTGCTACGAACGCCCAATATGTAGTGTGTTTGTTTTTCTACCAGCTTCTTCATCTGAGCAGAAAAATCATTAAAATGAGACTTAAAGGGGCATTATGGAAGTTTGACAGCCAAAACATGTATAGAAATAATACATTTCTTCTTCATACATTCTCCTGCAATGCCCTGGTCCTGTAGAATGAACCCTGGCATTTTTACTGTGATTGCCTGTTTTTCTGTAAAATCACAGAAAAAGAGAGCTGCTCGGGTCGAGCAGGCTGCTTCATGCGCGTTCACGCTCAGGCATCGCCCGTAGCATTTGCTATCAGTAGCTTTAGCAGCAGAGAGAGAGAGGTAGTGCCAACTCAGCGACTTTGTCGCTGTTCCTAACGCCTAATGATGAACCTAGCTACATTTCTGAGGACCCTTAGCTACTTTCTTCTAGATATTTCCTGCAAATGAGCAACAAAATAGCCATTTTCGCTCCGAACCGTTCTTTGAGCATTGTTTCAGCTGTTATCAAGGATATAAAAGTTACAGATACAAAAGATGTCACTGGCGCTTTAGCTCACCCAGTAAAACGTCAGACTCTCGTGCAGAAGATCCAGGGTTGATTCTGGATGTGACCATAATTTATTTAGTTTCTTTTTTACATTAATGGTATATTTTTTTTTACAGTAAGATGCCCAAATTTTAATTTGAGACTCGTCGAACGGCATTGAATCCACAGATAAAGATGTGGGTTCAACTTTCATTTTGGAACAAATTTTCAAGCAAGGGAAGGGAATGATCTGTGAAGCTGACGGACTGACCCATCTTAAACCTTTGTCTGTGCTGAAGAGAAAGGTACAGAACCAAGTTATTTAATTAATTAGCTGCGCGTTCTCCTGTCGTCTGTCCTCCCGGCCACACACACACACACACACACACACACACACACACACACACACACACACACACACACACACACACACACACACACACACACACACACACACGGGACTGTCTCAGCAGTTATTTTCGTTAAGGAGTGTGCACCTACAGCATGTGCGCCTCGTGCACGAGCCTACTATTGAAGCTGCCGTTACGCTTTTGGCCTGAGATTTCAGATTCAGATTTCAGATTTATTGGCCAAGTAAAATTACATTTACAGGGAATTTGTCTTCGGTAGATGTGAGGGGGTAATCGCAAGCATAAAAATTCAAAACTCTGCAAAGTCCCTTTAATAACGAGAATGTTACTTTTGCATGTGGAAAATACGAGGAACTAAATCAGACTCAAGCTCACCAGTTGAGTATACACTTGAATTGTTGCGTCAGGAATTGCTAGATAAACCCAGTCTTCAGACATCCTGATGATTTCTGCTGCTTTTCCCAGAGAAGTGAAGTTCCTGCTACTGTTCATCTCCAATGTTTAACATCAGTTGGTTTCAGATCATGTTTATACTGTTATTCCTGACTGGAAAGTTTTCAGCATGGGTGGAGCTTTAAGGAGATCAAACTTGTCACACCTGAAAAGGTGAGGCGTTGCTTGAAAGATTGGAGCTGTGGTGTGAGTGACCCAACAGATGAAAAAGATCCAGGAGGAAAAGAGTTAATTTTAACTAAGGAATGAGGAATCTGTGGTAAGGCGAGGCAGGAACGTAAACATGATCAAACTAAAAAGATCCGAACCAGATAGTGCTGAACAAAACAAAGCAAGACTGAGCTGGGAAAAAAATATGTAGCATGGTTTAATCAAACCAGGTCTAAGAAATTAAGAGATGGACAATACCAGTAAGTATGTAACATTTATTCATAGAGCACCTTTCACAGATAATGTGTCATAAGGTTACAACATATAGGTAAAAACTGGACTAAAACGTGCACAAGGAAAATGTATCTGAATAAAACAATAGTAGAAAAAGTATCATAATCAGAATCATTGCAAACAAGGAAAATAAAAACAGTAGTAAAAATAAAAATATAAGCAAAACTAAAAGTTTTACACACATTTAATGAGAGAAGGAGAGAAATGATCTTTTTAAAACCTCTGCAGAGTTTCAGAGACAGAGTTTGAAGGGCAAACTGAAGAAGAAGTTTATTTAGACATCACTTTTCACAGACACAAGTCAGTAAGTGCTTTACAGACTAAAACAAACATACAATAAACAACAACATAGTCAATTAAACAGCATTACCACTAGTGGTGGGGAGGGACTATGGGAAAGACAGCCAAGGGCAAGGGCGTAGGTGGCCCGAGGGGCAAAACTGAAATGGTATAAACTAAAAACTAACAGAGATTCAGTACTTTCAGTAGGTTGGAAGGCTAACCAGGAGTCACTAAGTATTTGAGGCAGCCTACATGCCTGGAGACAGCTGGAGAGAGGTACCAGCCCCCTGCGACAAGCGGGTATAGAAAATGAATAGATGGACTCTGGCGCTGATTCAACGATATAACTTTGACAGTGCAATGTGGATTCTACATAGTTTCATTGTGTTTGCTATCTGGAAAGTGAGCCAACATCGTTCCACAGTGATTTATTTCCCAGGATGCCAATAGTTTAGCTGTCATCAGCAGTCTTCACACCAGAATAACTTCGTGCCTCACCTTGAGTCTTTCTGGAACTTTAAGAAGGAATTTGATGAGAAAGAACAAAGTTGAAGCAGAGCTTCATGACACTAATTCTACCCTAGGGGTTTATTGTGGTATATAACAAAAGTGTTCTGTTGTTATAATTTTCAAAAAGGTTTAATTTCATGCAGAATATCACAGAAAACAAAATGATCAAATACAGAGGCAGGCCTTGTCCTGGTGAAAGAAATCCCAAAATAAAAATGCTAAACAAGTTCAAAAACATGAATTTAGAATAATTTAGAACTTTACAAGGCACTTTAGAATGAACTAGCATATTTTAGATCATTGTACAATGAAACAGAATACATCATATTTATTAAACAATCTAGTAAATTCTTTAAAAAAAGAAATTACTAGATTACTTTTAAAAGTGACTGAACAATCGAGACCATTTTGGATCAAATATAGAATATATCTGCTCTGCAATATCGCGTGGACATCGGGGGCAGTCCCACTGGACTGGCAGACCGGGGTGGTGATCCTCTTATTTAAAAAGGGGGACTGCAGGGTTTGTTCCAACTACAGGGGGATCACACTCCTGAGCCTTCCTGGTAAGGTCTATTCAGGGGTTCTGGAGAGGAGGGTCCGCCGGATTGTTGAACCTCAGATTCAGGAGGAGCAATGTGGTTTTCGTCCTGGCCGTGGAACACTGGACCAGCTCTATACCCTTAGGGGGATCCTGGAGGGTGCGTGGGAGATTGCCCAAACAGTCTACATGTGTTTTGTGGATTTGGAGAAGGCGTTTGACCGCGTCTCTCGGGGTTTCCTGTGTGTGTGTGGGGTGGTACTCCGGGAGTATGGGGTACCAGGCCCTCTGACACGGGCTGTTAGGTCCCGACCGTTCTCAGAGCTTGGTCCGCATTGCCGGCAGTAAGTCGGGCTCGTTCTCAGTGAGAGTTGGACTCCGCCAAGGCTGCCCTTTGCCACCGATTCTGGTCATAACTTTTATGGACAGGATTTCTAGGCACAGCCAAGGTGTGGAGGGCATCCGTTTTGGTGGCCAGAGGATCAGGTCTCTGCTTTTTGCAGATGATGTGGTCCTGTTGGCTTCATCAGAACGTGATCTTCAGCTTTCGCTGGAGCGGTTTGCAGCTGAGTGTGAAGCAGCTGGGATGAGAATCAGCTCCTCTAAATCTGAGACCATGGTCTTGGTTCGGAAAAGGGTAGAATGCCTTCTCCGAGTCAGGGATGAGGTCCTGCCCCAAGTGGAGGAGTTTAAGTATCTCGGGGTCTTGTTCACAAGTGAGGGAAAACTGGAGCGTGAGATCGATAGGCGGATTGGTGCTGCATCTGCAGGCGTTGTACCGGTCTCTCGTGGTGAAGAGAGAGCTGAGTCAGAAGGCGAAGCTCTCGATTTACCGGTCGATCTACGTTCCTACCCTCACCTATGGTCATGAGCTTTGGGTAGTGACCGAAAGAACGAGATCACGGATACAAGCGGCCGAAATGAGTTTTCTCAGAAGAGTGGCTGGGCTCTCCCTTAGAGATAGGGTGAGAAGCTCTGTCATTCGGGAGGGGCTCGGAGTAGACCCGCTGCTCCTCATCGAGAGGAGCCAGTTGAGCAGGCTCGGGCATCTGGTCAGGATGCCTCCATGGTGAGGTTTTCCGGGCACGTCCAACCTGGAGGAGACCTAAAGGTAGACACAGGACACGGTGGAGGGACTATGCCTCTCACCTGGCCAGGGAACGCCTTGGGATTCCCCCGGAGGAGCTGGCCCAAGTGGCTGGGGAGAGGGAAGTCTGGGCCTCTCGCCTTAGGCTACTGCCCCCACGACCCGACTCTGGATAAGCGGATGAAAATGGAAGGATAGAATATATTATGTAGAATATATTTAGAATGTTATATATTTGTTAAAAGCTAGCCAGACACCTTAAAAGCGGTTCAGTTTATAGACATTTTTCGTTTGTATATTTGTTTTTTAAGTAACATTTTAGGCAGAAATCAGCCAGAACGAGTTTGTATCGCGGGTCCCAGTTATTCCTGTGTGTGTGTGTGTGTGTGTGAAGCAAATTAAACTTGTCATTTGTTTTAAGGACAGCGGAGCAAAGAAGCGTTTTTATTAAGCTTAGAGGTGAAGAGTGAAGCTGTTTACACACAACCACAGAAGTTCTTCTGTGAAAAGTAGTTTTACATTCAGGGATTTACACAGCTGACACGTTTTAATGAAGTAAAAAGTTTGTGTGAAGAATATAATTTTTATGTTTATTGCCTTTTTGTCACCTGTGGTCTCTGATTTTCTCTGTAGGACTGCAGGTGTCCAGGGTCAGGAGAGGTTTTACCTGCTGGTCATCCTGGGAGAGAGGCCTTCTACTGTCATAATTATTTAGCTGTTTGATATTTGAACACATTTATTAAAACAAATACTAATAACGTTCTGGTCATTGATTTTATCACTAGTTTTATTATTACAGATGTTTTTGAACATGTTACATGAACAGAAAATGAAAAGATGGTAAGGAGACAAGATTATTTATAATAGGTTAAACTTATTTACAGATCAAAACCAGTATGGACCAGTTATGTACGGTTAAAGCAGGATTAACCTGAGTGACTCCTCCTGGATCATTTATTTAAACTGAGTGAGCAGGAAGTCTTTAACAGTGCAGCTGGATCTGCTGCAGGAGGATCCAGACGTGGATGGAGGGCTGGAGCAGACCCGTGGCTGGACGTTTCTGGTCAGAGGAACATCATACAGGATGGTCAGCAGAGAGCTTTGGGACGCTTCCTCTCACTGTCCACTCCATCGTCCATCTACAGGGACTGCTGGGCTGGCTCAGACGACGGCTGTTACATCTCTGTGAATGACTTGCCTGTTAACAATAGTGGTGGTCTGCTGGTACCTCCTCCAGGACAGAGCACCACTGACCTCCTCCACACACATCTTCCTCACGCTCATCCTGCTGACCCACAACTTCACCAGCACCGATGCAGATGTGCAGCACAGTGCATGCTGACCTGTAATAGATTAAATAAGAGTTTGTTTGTTTTTTTTTATAGAAAAATGTAAAACAAAACATAACATGCAGTACACTGATTCTGTTCAGTTTAAAGAAAAGCAGCAGGGAATAGTTAAATAAAAACTACAGATAATTTACATTTTTAAGACAGATCTAATCATTATTAGGCTTAAGTTGAATAAACAAATGCACATTGAAAACACTTCAATGCTACTTTATTAAAAAGCCTGTTTTTTTAAAGCATTTTACCCCATTTGATGCAAAATAAGTTCTAAGGTCCAATTTACATTAGAAAACATCCTACTGCATTCAACATTTATAATGCATTTGGTTTATATTAATTACCTACACGATAATACTCTGTAGAAATGTGTTGTGTATATTTAACAAGTTCATTATGTAGCTTAAAACATACATTAAACCATCTAAAGTTAACATTTAAGTCCTGAAAGCTTCTATAATAAACAAAATTACTTTACCTGAAAACGTTTGTGAACAAACGCTGCTGATGGGCGTGACGCTGCTGTAGCTCCTTGCTCCATTTTCGCTAGCTTTAGCATTTTTCCTTTGCGTGTAGCTGCCGCCACGGCGGATAACGGAACGACGCAGCTTCACGTACAACGTGACTACCAAGTGAGCTCATTTACATATTACGTCTGACGTCACAAAGCGCAGAATCCCTATAGACCTAAGACCTATAGGAACACGTCATTCATATACACATCGTCTAGAAGAGAGACACTTGTTTTTGGACTCCCACAAGAAGATTTAAAATGGCAAAATCCACACAGGAATGTTTAAATAATTCTACTATCAGAATTAAGGAAGGTATTTCTGTTGCAAGCAGATCAGAGGTTTACCAAATCAACAAATTATCACATTACAGGAAGTTTAGTCAGATTGCCGAGTGCCAAAATGTGAGAACAGGTGAAATTTTGGCAATAAAATTTGTTAAAAACAAGTTTTATTCTCAAAATAAGAGAGAGGTGCAGATATTGAAACAACTGAAAATGTTAAATCTCCAGGACAGCAATATAGTCAACTTCTCTGAGTGTTTTTCATACCAAGACAGGACCTGCTTGGTCTATGAGAAACTGGATTCAACCTTTCTGGAATTGGTTTTAGCAGCAAATGGGACACCTGTTCACCTTATTGAGATCAGAGCAATTGCATATCAAATGTTAGTTGCTCTAACGGCTCTGAACAACTCTGGTTTCACTCATGCTAATATAAAGCCAGAAAATATAATGACTATGGATGAAGATTCACATCAGTATGGTGTAAAACTGATTGGGTTTTCCAACTCTGCAAAGACATCTGACTTATGTGACTTAAAGATCCCATTAGATTGTGGTTACACCGCACCAGAGGTGTACCTGGACTGTCCACTAGACGAAAGCCTTGATATCTGGAGCCTTGGATGTACTTTAGCTTTTCTGTTCTTAGGGCAACACATGAGCCCTGTGGACTGCGAATATCAGTACATGAGGTTTATCGTAGATGTTTTGGGCCAGCCTGAAAATGAACTACTGGAAAAAGCATGTCAAAGTCGTCGTTTTTTTAAAAAAGTGAAACAGGGGTCTGATTACGTTTGGAGACTCCGGACCCCGAAGGAATTTGAAAAAACAACTGGAAGTGAGGTTAAGAAAACAGATTGCAATAATTTCACTGATTTAAGTGACTTTCTGTCTAAATCCAATCAACCAGAGCCAATAGATAATGATGACACAGAGGCTTTTATCGACCTTCTCATAAAAATGTTAAACGTGGACCCAGCACTTAGGATCAAACCGGCAGATGCTTTAAATCACCCATTTATAACAATGACGCATCTACGTTATATCTCAGATGAATTTTATTTAACAGAATCCCAAAGGATTATGAAGGAATGCCAACACAGAGAACAAGAAAACACTTATAGTTCTCTTTCCACTCCAAACAGCAACAGAGAACAGACCCCAGACCTGGATTTTAGTAAGGAGGGAAAGATAAATCCCTCACATTCAGTTCAGGCTGAAATCAGAACAGGAACCAGTAGCATTGAAACAAAAACTGAAAAGAAAAACACGCCACACTCTGACCCCAGGAAGATTTCACCTAATGATGAGAAATTCAATCAGTTGTTTAGCAGTGAAAATTTTGAAGGAGCTAATTCAGAGGACTCAAAGATGGACCTGTCTATCAAATGGAAAGACGAAGGGTCATCCTCAACTGACTCACAGTGCATCCCTTCAATGTTAACACCAGGTATGATAATTACGGGGAATTCAAAGGTTTACAAAGTAGAGGAAGTTCTTGGTTCTGGGACGTGTGGACAGGTGGCCAGGTGCTGCATACAGGGAACAGAAAAGGTTGTAGCTTTGAAAACAATGAGTGGCCTAGATTTCAGCAGTTTTTACAATGATACTAAAATATTAGAACGTCTGAACAAACTCCCACAATACAATAACCATTTCATCAGATTGAACGACAGTTTCTGCTGTCAAGACTTTCTTTATCAGGAATTCGAGCTTTTGGATAGGGATCTGTGGGACTTTATGGAGAAAGGTGGTTATTTAAAGGTGGCTGAACTCAGAGCAATTGCCCAGCAGACGTTAGAAGCTCTTAGCGCTTTGAAACAGCTTGGTATTACGCACACAGATCTGAAACTTGATAATATCATGCTTGTAAATCATGAAGCACAGCCATTCAGAGTGAAGCTGATTGATTTTGGGTCAGCTTGTGAGACTGAACGTTTACTACGGAAAAGTATCTATCAGCTTTTGCTGTACAGAGCTCCAGAGATAACTCTTGGTCTACCACGAGATGAAGCTATGGACACTTGGAGTCTTGGCTGTGTCTTGTCTGTTCTGTTTCTTCATCGTTTTCCATTCCCACATGAAAACGAATACGATAATCTGAGAATAATTATAAAGCTCCTTGGTCAACCTGACCAAAAACTACTGGACGAGGGGACTCTAGTCTCAGACTATTTCAGAAAAGGTAAGAACGGGTCTGAATGCTCTTGGAGATTTAAAACCCTGAAACAATACGAAAAGAAGAGAGGAGCGGTGTCTACGAGGGCACGCGCAGCCTTTGATGATTTAACAACGCTGGATGACATGTTTTTCTCTGAAAACACCCAAAACTCAACTGAAAATGAAGATATCAAAGCTTTTCTTGACCTCGTGAAGAAAATGTTAACAGTGGATCCAGCAAACCGGATTCTGCCAGCTGATGCTCTAAAACACCCTTTCATCACGATGGAGCATCTTGATGGCTCTTCAGGTAAAAGTTATGTGAGAAACGCTCGTAAATTAATGAGAAATGTCCAACCAGGGAAATTTCCTTCAGATGGTGAAAGTGTAATCAGCGAACGCCCTGGGCCCAGTCAGGTGCCAGGTGTTCAAACAGACTTAGATAGATCTTTACCAAAGACAGAATGTGATAAATCGGCATTCAGTACAAAATTTAGTTCTAAAGAAATAGTAGAGGGTTATTTAACAGAATGCAAAAGAGGAAACATTGCAGAGAAAACTTCTATTGACACCAGAGAGAAGAATGAGTCACTTCATGTCTTGAAGAATGAAGAAGCAATGTGTAGCAAAAAGTTATTAGAGTTAACCAGCACAGTAAACATAGAGGAACTCCATATGGGTAATCTTTCACCAAACCAATCTACAGATTGGGAAACTTCTTCCTCAGACACACATGAGACAAACTCATCTGACTCAGAAAGCTCATCTTCAAAACTAATCCCAGGTATGATGATTACTGGCGATTCAAAGGATTACATTGTAGAAGAAGTACTTGGATCTGGGGCATACGGAGCGGTGGCCAGGTGCCGTATACGGGGAACAGAAAAGGTTGTAGCTTTGAAAACAATGAGTGGCCTTGATTCCAGCAGTTTTTACAATGAGACTAAAATATTAGAACGTCTGAACAAACTCCCACAATACAATAACCATTTTATCAGATTGAATGACAGTTTCTGCTTTCAAGACTTTCTTTATCAGGAATTCGAGCTTTTGGATAAGGATCTGTGGGACTTTGTGAAGAAAGATGTTTCTTTAAAGGTGGCTGAAGTCAGAGTGATTGCCCAGCAGACGTTAGAAGCTCTTAGCGCTTTGAAACAGCTTGGTATTACGCACACAGATCTGAAACTTGATAATATCATGCTTGTAAATCATGAAGCACAACCATTCAGAGTGAAGCTGATTGATTTTGGGTTGGCTGTTGAGACTGAACGTTTACTACAGAAAGGTATCTATCAAACTTTGCCGTACAGAGCTCCAGAGATAACTCTTGGTCTACCACGAGATGAAGCTATAGACACTTGGAGTCTTGGCTGTCTCTTGTCTGTTCTGTTTCTTCATTGTTTGCCGTTCCCACATGTTAACGAATACGATAATCTGAGAATAATTATGAAGTTCCTTGGTCAGCCTGACCAAAAACTACTGGACGAGGGGACTCTAGTCTCAGACTATTTCAGAAAAGGTAAGAACGGGTCTGAATGCTCTTGGAGATTTAAAACCCTGAAACAATATGAAAAGAAGAGAGGAGCGGTGTCTACGAGGGCAGACGAAGCCTATGATGAGTTAACAACGTTGGATGACATGTTTTTCTCTGAAAACACCCAAAACTCAACTGAAAATGAAGATATCAAAGCTTTTCTTGACCTCGTGAAGAAAATGTTAACAGTGGATCCAGCAAACCGGATTCTGCCAGCTGATGCTCTAAAACACCCTTTCATCACGATGGAGCATCTTGATGGCTCTTCAGATAAAAGTTATGTGAGAAACGCTCGTAAATTAATGAGAAATGTCCAACCAGGGAAATTTCCTTCAGATGGTGAAAGTGTAATCAGCGAACGCCCTGGGCCCAGTCAGGTGCCAGGTGTTCAAACAGACTTGGATAGATCTTTACCAAAGGCAGAATGTGATAAATCGGCATTCAGTACAAAATTTAGTTCAAAAGAAATAGTAGAGGGTTATTTAACAGAATGCAAAAGAGGAAACATTACAGAGAAAACTTCTATTGACACCAGAGAGAAGAATGAGTCACTTCATGTCTTGAAGAATGAAGAAGCAATGTGTAGCAAAAAGTTATTGGAGATAACCAGCACAGTAAACACAGAGGAACTGCATATGGGTAATCTTTCACCAAACCAATCTACAGATTGGGAAACTTCTTCCTCAGACACAGATGAGACAAACTCATCTGACTCAGAAAGCTCATCTTCAAAACTAATCCCAGGTATGATGATTACTGGCGACTCAAAGGATTACATTGTAGAAGAGGTACTTGGATCTGGGTCATACGGAGCGGTGGCCAGGTGCCGAATACGGGGAACAGAAAAGGTTGTAGCTTTGAAAAAAAGCAGTGGCCTTGATTCCAGCAGTTTTTACAATGAGACTAAAATATTAGAACGTCTGAACAAACTCCCACAATGCAATAAACATTTTATCAGATTGAATGACAGTTTCTGCTGTCAAGACTTTCTTTATCAGGAATTCGAGCTTTTGGATAAGGATCTGTGGGACTTTACAGAGAAAGGTGGTCCTTTAAAGGTGGCTGAAGTCAGAGTGATTGCCCAGCAGACTTTAGTAGCGCTTAACATTTTGAAACAGCTTGGTATTACTCACACAGATCTGAAACTTGAAAATATCATGCTTGTAAATCATGAAGCACAACCATTCAGAGTGAAGCTGATTGATTTTGGGTTGGCTGTTGAGACTGAACGTTTACTACAGAAAGGTATCTTTCAGCCTTTGCCGTACAGAGCTCCAGAGATAACTCTTGGTCTACCACGAGATGAAGCTATAACCACTTGGAGTCTTGGCTGTCTCTTGTCTGTTCTGTTTCTTCATTATTTTCCGTTCCCACATGATAACGAATACGATTATCTGAGAATAATTAAAAAGCTCCTTGGTCAACCTGACCAAAAACTACTGGACGAGGGGACTCTAGTCTCAGACTATTTCAGAAAAGGCAAGAACGGGTCTGAATGCTCTTGGAGATTTAAAACCCTGAAACAATACGAAAAGAAGAAAGGAGCGGTGTCTACGAGGGCAGATGCAGCCTATGATAATTTTACAACGCTGGATGACATGTTTTTCTCTCAAAACTCCAAAAACTCAACTGAAAATGAAGATATCAAAGCTTTTCTTGACCTCGTGAAGAAAATGTTAACAGTGGATCCAGCAAACCGGATTCTGCCAGCTGATGCTCTAAAACACCCTTTCATCACGATGGAGCATCTTGATGGCTCTTCAGATAAAAGTTATGTGAGAAACGCTCGTAAATTAATGAGAAATGTCCAACCAGGGAAATTTCCTTCAGATGGTGAAAGTGTAATCAGCGAACGCCCTGGGCCAAATTTAAGTTCAAAAGAAATAGTGAAAAAGTCTCTCGAAAAACAGAAAGGAATGAAACATACTGATGCCAAAAGAAATACAGTTCTTAAGAAGATTAAGAACTTCTTCACCGAAAAGTTCCACTCCATCAACTGTTACTTGTCTAAATTCTGGTAGTTTAGTATATATGTAGAACTTGTTTTAGTTATACCATTTTTACCAAATTAGTACCAAAAATGGGGCTGCATGAGACACACTTACTCAAAGCAAGAAGATTGCAGGTTCAGATTTCACCTGGGACTTCTCTTATGTAGTTAACACGTTCTCCACATGCATGCGTGGGTTTTCTCTGGGTGCTCCAGTTCCCCCCACAAACACCAAAAATATAGCAGGTTAGGTTTATAAGTGTATTTTAATTATCCCTAGGTGTGAGTGAGTTAGTCACCCGCCCAGGGTGTCTGATGTCTCTTACCTGGTGACTGCTAGAGGCGGCACCAGCTCATTCAGATAGTGAGTTATTTTCTGCTAGACTGAAGATACTTTTAATTACTCCTGTAGACACTAAGGAAAGCTAGGGAGACAGTTCAGCTGTTAGATTCACCACTTCTTTCCATCGGCCATGAAGGCAGTCACGTAATGTAATGGTGATGTTTTAACCACAAACTTATTTCCAACTGGAAGCAATTCTGACGCGAACCGAGAGCGAAAGCGCTCCACACGGCTGATCCTGTGATGTCCAAAAAATCACGGGAGAATCGCAACACCACACGTGATTTCAGAAGTCCACGCAAAGGCAAGGCAGCTTTATTTGTATAGCACCTTACAGCAGTATAAATTCGACCAAAGTGCTTCACGAAAATTAAAACATAAAAAAACAATACACAAGATAAAAATGCATAAAAACTAAAGCTTAAGAACTAATACTAAAAAGACTCTCATGCTGAGTTAAAAGCCAAATCGTAAAAATAGGTTTTCAAAAGAGATTTACAACCAGACAGCGAAGAGGCCGACCTAATGCTCAAAGGCAGCGCATTCCAGAGCCTAGGGGCTCTGCAGAGGCCTCTGAGCTTACATCTTGTTTTTGGGACTTCCAAGAGCATCAGCCGACCTCAGAGACCATGCAACGGAGTAAAAAACCATAGCTCAGAGAGGTAATCTGGAGCAAGGCCATGCAAAGAATTAAAAGCCCATAAAAGCACCTTGTACTGGATTCTAAAACAAACAGGCAGCCAGTGCAGTGCTAAAGACCAAAGGTGACAGATCATTTGCTGCTGTGGTCCCCAGACTCTGGCACACTGCTTTTGAACACACAAAATTAAAACTAATTAATTTTGTATATAATTAATTGATTAGTTTGTACAAATTTAGAGTGGCACACACTCAAACCAGAAAAGATTTTTCGATGTTTTTTGCTAATTATTTCACCATGGTAAATTGAAACTCTTAGAAAATTGATAGCACAACTCACATGGCCGAGCCCCTCGTTTTGATGTATGATTTGTGGGGTTGGACGCTTCCATTCGAGCCGCATTAACGTTTGCGGGAAAAATAACTAGAAAAAAATTTCCTGAATTTTGAAAAGGGAACTGCCACCTGGCACAAGATAGAATTTATGCGTATGTAAAAAATGCCACACACTCAAAGTCTGAATGAGTAACTCAGTCTGGCCAAAGCTGAGAATTTTTGCTATGCACACTCCAGGTGCATAACAATAAGGGTCCTGTTTGCTGGAGCTTGGGGCCCTGTTAGTGCAGGGTTCCTTAATTAGTTGCTTAATTTATTCCTTGCTGCTCCCAGATTTTAATTTTTTTTGCAGTTGCAAGTTCTTCATTCCCCTTGAATGCAGTTAAAACGTATTTATTTACCTGTTTACACAAAAACAAATGACTTCTGATCTGTACGCAAAACATTATTAGTGGGCTGTGGTTTGAAAGTTTGGCATCAACCACCTCAGATATTTGGTGTATAATGTAAATTTCTACAGCTTTATTATAAATAAAATTTTTTAATCAGGATTATGACATGTTTTCATTGATCTGCTGATCTGTTGAAAGTGACAACTTGTCACGAAACGGGGTTTGTAGGACCCAAAATGCAGGAACCCAAGATGACACGAGGCAGGTGATAATATAAAGAAAAATCCTTTATTTTGAAGGATGAGTCCAAAAAATAAGAATAAATCCACAGGAGCTGGAAGTCAAAACTCCAATAAGTCCAAAATGAAAACTAGAGACGAAATACTAGAGACTAGAGAAGGCTGAGATCAAAAATACTAGAGACAAAGAACACTAGAGATTAGAGCAGAACTGACAGAATACCACAATGGACCGACACAAGACAGAGACAAAACAGGGCTTATATACACGGGGAGAACAATTAAGGAAACAGGAAGCAGGTGTGTAGAGTATGGGCTGGAGGGAAGGCAGGTGACAATAATTAACTAAATGGGGAAACAGAACCAAAGGACAGATAAGGCTATAACTACAAAACCAAACTAAAAGGCTGTGGGAAGGACTAACACACACACACCATCACACACAATACACAACACACATAAACTCACACCTACATATACTGAACTGGGGAATGGACACACACACACACACACACACACACACACACACACACACACACACACACACACACACACACACACACACACACACACACACACACACACACACACACAAACGCAGAGATGGGGAAGGACATGCCCACACACACACACTGACACAAATAACTCTCTCACACACACACACACTAACACACACATACACACACTAACACACATACACTCACACACACATATACTGGGCTGGGGAACAAGAGGCTGGAGCTGCAACTGGAGGGACAGAGGATAACTAAATAAACACCGGACCTGAGGGGATGATAAAAAAGGCCAACAAACAGAAGACACAATATTGCGACGCAGACAAAGGACACATGAGGGCGCTATGAGACACAGAAGGGAAACTAGAGAGAATGGAGAAACATCAGGAGACAAATAAAGGAAGGGGAAGACGCAGACCATGACACAACTTGTTTTTGTAGTTTTACCAAAAAAAAAAAAAAAAGATAAATGAAAAATGATAAAAGACCTGCACTTGTATAGCGCCTCTCAGAGTAAGGACTCCAAAGCGCTTTACACTACAGTGTATCATTCATCCATTCACACACACATTCACACACTGATGGTGATAAGCTATGATGTAGCCACAGCTGCCCTGGGGCACGCTGACAGAGGCGAGGCTGCCGAGCACAGACGTCACCAGTCCCTCCGACCACCACCAGCAGGCAACGTGGGTTAAGTGTCTTGCCCAAGGACACAACAGCAGAATTCTCTGTCCGGAACCGGGATCGAACCTGCAACACACACAAGAGGGTGACACCATATTTTTTACTTTCCTTTTATTGAGACCGAGCTTAATGACTTTTAGATTGATTCATTACATTTTTGCTAATCCGTTTGTCTTTAATGTTTTAATTGGCCACAGGAGGGCAACATTCGTGACTCTCAACTGGAAGAGTGCGGCCCTTATTAAGAGCTTTTCAGATTTAAATTAATGCTGCTGCTTTGGGCCCTGGCAGGATGGGCTGGGGTCTCCATGCCCTGGGTGGCATTTTGACAACAGAGGTGCCTATTGGGGCCAGTAGGGGAGCTGACTCCCTGGAGGGCTAAGCCCAACCAGCCATTCCTCCCCATCCCCACATATTTCTCTCCTCCTGCTCCCTCACATCATCACACAAACATACACACATAGGACCTTGGGGGGTGGGCAAGTCAGGGAGTGCGGGTATGGACCCCATTTCCACATTCCTGTGGCAACCTGCCCCCCAATTTTATTTGCACCTTATACACTTCCACTGACGACATCCCACACAAACACACACTTAGGGCCTTGGGAGTGAGCACATTCAACGGCATTTGGCAGGGGGATATCTCAGCCTCCTCCCGGGTGCCGGTGCCAACTTCCAATTTTAAACCGCACTTAGACACCGAGGGCTGAGGGTGTAAGCGGGGTGGTGCGGTGGCATCAGCTGGCATAGGCCGGATGATGCCCGCACTGCCCGCTCACCACAGCCATGGAATACACCTCATCAACACACAACACTATACTGGAGCAGGCGGAGGGAGACTTAGCGCTCCTCTGTTGTTGCTTGGCTTCCTGGGGCTGGAGGCTAGGAGGGAGATATGGCCATCTGGTTGGGGTCTGGGGTGGTAGGTTTCTGTGCTCAGCGTTGGGCGGGGGAGCCTGCTCATCAGCACCCCCAGCAGAAAGGGTCAAACTCTGGTTACTGGTGATGGTTGTACCCAATGTGCAGCAGTACCGGGACCAGAGTGAATAGGGTGTGTATGGGGAGCATGAGTGGGTGTCCGGCGTGCATTTTTGTAAGTCTTGGGTTATATGTGCATGTGTGAGCATGAGGGAGGGAGTGTGTGACTGTGTTTGTGTATGACTGTATATGTCAGGTGGGGCCTTTGACTCCTCCCCTCTCCTGGAACTTCTTTTGAAGATACAGATCTTCGTTCCCCCCCCTCCCCCTGCCACACCTGGTGTGAGGGGTTGTGCCTTGGTCTGCCTGAGTGTTCGTGGCAACCGGGTCAGGGGGTTTAAGATTTTGGCATCTGTCTGATAGATCCCGGTGGCTGCCTGGTGGGGTCTGGGTCCCTGGGCTCTGCTGGGTCCCCGGCGGGGGTGGTCGCCCCTGGGTCCCGGGTCGCTGGGTCCTGGGCTCGGCCGGCTAGGGGGTGGGAGATTGTGGGCGGGCCTGTGGGCTTGCCGCTGATGTCTCCCGGGACTCTGCCGGCTGCTGGTTGTGACCCCCTGGGGCGATCCTCTGTGCCTCTCGAGGGGGGCGGGGGCCTTTCTGGTTGCAGTCTCCTTGGGGTTCCTGTGTTCTGGGGCAGCGCCTGGATCTCTGGGACTTGGAGCTCCCCCCATCTCCTGCGCATCTTTGGGGGGCGGATCTGTGGTCCCTCACACTCTCTGTTGGACGCTCCTATAGAGAAACCTTACATAAACAAGCGCGTGTACACACACAGGTGCTCACATGGTGCTCTCAAAAGTATGGGCTTGGGCACATTAAACACAGGTCTTAAGACTATGGTGGGCACTTAATGCACTATGATTTATTATCGTGATTCTTCAGTTAAGCAATGTTAATTATATATTTCT